CGACATCTTTGGAGCCCCTTAATCAAAATATCTGAGAAGGCCTTTGGAGATATTTTGACATCTGCATCTGTCCCTTCAGGGCGATCGTTGAACACTGTCCTTTCCACAGAGCCCGCTGCATCCATATTTCGTATAGTCCTGACTCCCCTATTTCATGTCTCTTAGCATGCCCAGGGCCTCCCCGGCCCGGATCCTGGGTGGTACTACTTTATTATCGACGTTCATTACTACTATCCTCGATGGCATGTGCTTCACCTTCTCCAGATCCCTCTCATCTCGTGTGTCTTCTGTTGAATCCGCCATTGTCAGCCTAAGTGCAGTCAGCTGTGTTGCGCTTGTATCGATGATGCTCCTCTGGATCAAAGATATCAAAAGTGAGCCCACAGAGCAGAGCAGAAACCACCGAGCCATCACATATGGGCTTATCGCTGCATATTTATCAGTGGCCACTGGCGTGACAGCAGGAGGGATAGCATGGAGTGCTGCTCAATCCGTGTCAGCTAAGAAGTCGACGGTCACAAGACATCAGTCTTTGCTAGTGGCTCGCTGCACCATATGGGCCATATCGGTTCTCAGCCAAGGCATACTAGGAGGATACCTCCTGACAACCTTGACGAGACGGGAGCCCACAAGAAACTGGTCGCCACCATCCGTATCCCAAGAGCTTGAGGTTCTTTCTGATAAAGCAAGCGTAAAAGACGCAAGCACCGTGCAATCATCCTCTCTGGCCAGCGAGTCCCAGCGACCATCCGCTGATTTGAAGACGAGTCCTGATACTGTACCTCCGATCCAACCGTCTGTCTCAAATACCGAGTCGCAGGCCTCAAACCGCTATTCTGGACGTACACTATTCCAGCATGACTCCAAGCAAAGCTCCTTTGACCTGCAGCGATCATACGTACCTCCTGGAGATACCACAGTCACACCAGCCACAGTAGAGGAGCATCCCGGTGACCAAACCGGCAGCGCTGCAGTCGGGGCCAAGCTTCGCCCCGAACCCCCCAAGATTCGACGAAGCTACTCCGATACAAAGCGGTCCTTGGATGGCTTGGTTCGCCAACCCTCGTCAGCACGGTCATCGCCCGCGACTTCATCAACACAGCTGGTGACTCCTGCCAGACCTGCCCCTCCCAAGCTGAAGCTCCCCGATGAGAGCTTCATTCACCCGTTATTCCGCTCCGACAGCTCATCGCCACCCCCAACCCCAATGCCAGGTACCACGGTGATTGCCTCACCAGCAGCCGGCCAGACCATTTCCGTGCAGGCCTTGAACCGGGTCAGATCTACTCGTTCGCTCCGATCCCAAGCACCACGCAGCAGATCGCCGCTGTTCGATCAACCCCTCAACGGGATGGAACGGAACACCGAGTCCCCGGAACCCAGCGGTCGAGGGTCTCCGATGCCCAGCTTCATCATGGCGGCAGATGTGCGGAGCAGTATATCACGGTATGAAAAGAAATATGATCTGAACGAATCACCGGATGAGAGCTAGCTGGACCGGAAGAGGGTGCGACCGCATTGCAGGTTTGAGCTTACATGTCTTTCCTTTGTTTGTGTTTTCCTATGTTGATAGATATCCTGGACATAGCGTTTGATGTAGTTAGCAAAGTACTTTCATAGATAAGTATAGATCATATAATGCATCATGGCTCTCTACTGAAAGGGGTAAATTATAAGTAGATATAAGATAATGCTACATGTGGCTTGTTAGTGCTACTTTTCTGGCGGGGGAAAATGGAAGCTTAAAGGTACAGAAATACCTCATGCACATTGACCATAACTAGAAGTCATTATCTTGGACCTTTGAAGACCAAGGTACATGCATGTCTATATAGTTCAAACACAACATCCAATCACAGCATAAGATCTGACAAAAATAGATATAAGTAGTATATCAAAATGTCCACAAGAAGAGCCAAGCAAGTTTCATCAAGGCCTGTGTGTGTTTCCTACGGAGTCCGATACTCTCTCAAACCTGATCCATCATACGGTGAACTTTGAACAAAGCGGTCCTTCGTTTCGTGCATATCCATGCAGATGTACACCTGTCATGGCCAGACTCTTACGAGGCGCACATTGTCATGAAATGGCGGATATCTGGTATGTGATGTTTTACCTTTTCCCCCAAAGTCTGTTTTGTGTTACGGAGTAACCTAGGAAGATAGGTAACAGCCTGACACTTTTAGTTTTCAGTGCCCCGTGAAAGAACTTTTACTGAAGGGGTAAGCGGGTATTGAAATATTTTAACGCCATCTTAATGTTGTTTCGATGGGTGTCAATTGGGCAGATGTGAGTAATTGGGTAATATTAGATTTTGAGGGTTGGATTGATAGAGGAGTCAAGAAGGGAAAGGGGAGGAAGAGCTGGATGGTAATTGATCTATGTCTATTCTTGACAATATATGGGAAGGGGATGTGGTATTGACAGGGAGTGACTCTTGGAGAGGAGCTGAACTGATCGTACTACTGTCTTGCCTCATGAAGAGAAAGAGACTTTCGAGGTCTAGTTGTAGTACTACTCCGTAATCGGAAATGAATGGAGAGAAGTTATAAAGTACGAAGAAGCAGAAGGTACCCACTTTCGGAAAACCCATCCACCATCTACTAGATAGATAGATATTAGGAGACTACGTGGATAGTAAGTGGTATATGAGGCACTATGAACTAAGATTATACGTAAGGATAACACGTGTGTATCATGATGAAGATTATTTTTCCCTTTCTCGGCTGTCAGCCCTTTTTGGAGCCGAGAGAGACAGAGAGAGAGAGAGAGCATTGTCACTCAGGGATCGTTAACAGTCTCATCAATCGTTGCACGGTTTCAGCGCGTTGTCGAGAAGGAGGAGTAGTCCGGAGTCCGAAGACGAAATATCCCTTAGCGGTGATTTTAGTGCCTGGAGCTACTCAGTTTAGTGGTCAGATTTGGCTGGGATGGAATTTCTACGGCCACGCCTTGCTCGACTTGACGACGTATTTCCGACCCATTCCATCCAGCTTTTGACAGTCGCCCGGCTTCTCCACGCTCATCTCCTTTTTATTTCTTTTAAACTTCTGCTTTTTAATTTGCCGTGCTGGATAGTTCCATCTGACTTACTATCTGGTGATATAAAGTATCTCTCCCTCTATTTTCGTGTTCCCCTGTCCATTCTCTCCTCAGTATCTGTTTGATTTCTACTCGGATATTGGGAACGTGGGCCGGCGTGGTCGGTCCCTGGCTCCTGCTTTTGCGCCACTCCAAGCGGCCGGGACAGCCAAACGGCCCAGTCAAATTCCTCGCCGTCGGTCTTTTTAGTTCCAACTAACACTAACACTGGCTTGACTGATCTTCCCAGCCGAATTCATCGCCCATCAGCTTCAAGATTCTCCATAATCTGGTCTTGTTGTGGTGGTGGTGACCGTTGCTTTTCCATTTCCTTTTCCTCATTTTTCCTTTGGCTATTCCCCTTCCTTCCCACGAACTGCTCGCCCATCCAAGGTACGGCAATAGTTAAAGCAAAGCACTCCCTTTTGCGTGTCATTTGGGTGGTGTTTTTTTTCTCCCTCTTCTCTCTTCTATTGTCTTTCCCTCTCCCCTTTCGTTCCCTGGGGGGCTTTTTTTCTTCTTTTCCCTTTTGCTGCTCTACAAGACAGCACCGGACTTTCTCTGTCCGCGCATGAAGATCAACTTTTGGGATCAACCACCCGAGAGCTCGATCAATTGCTGGGGGATCGTTTGGTAGACCGTAGTTACTGCTGCTACTGCTGCTACTACGACAACGTCGACAAGCTGGAGCTGCTACTGCTGCTGCTGTTGCTGCTGCTACCTCACTAACCAACCTTTACTACTACTTTCTACTTTTACTACTTCTACATCCGGCGAAGTTGTCCTCGTATTTGGCTTCTCCTCTCTTCTCTCTTCCTCTCTCACTCCGAGTTTCTTCCTCTCACTCTCCTCTTGAGTCTCTCTGCCAGGCCCGCCAACCAACCAACCAAACGGCGGGTAGCTTTTCTTGCTTCGCTCACTTGATCCACTTGGCCGAACCTCTTTTTACTTCATTCCCTCTCCAATCTCCATTCTACTAATCTCTACTACCCTCGCGTTCCCGCCTGGGGATTCAATCGATCTACTACTTTTACCTTCACGTTGCTGATCCACGCTCCGAGGAGGAATTTTCCCTTATTTCCCCCCCAGGTATGTTCTCATCCTTCCCCTTCCCTTGCCCCCATTTCTTGCCCGATTGTCCCCGTTTTACTTTTCTGCTCTCCTTCCCGCAACCACGCGACCCCCAGCTTTTCCCTTGGGAAGCGATCCTCCCGGCACGTTTCTATCGTCACATACCTCGTCTCATCTCGGCCTTTTGCCTGACTGCCATCCTCCGCCCTTCTCTTCCCTGTACTTCCTGATGCGTCCTCTCCACCCCCCAGCATATCCCCATCCTTAAACTTTATCTGAACCAATGTACCATGTGCCTTGTGTTCTTTTCACCTTTTCATTCCCTTCCTCAACCACACATACCCATGTCGCTTAGTATGGCATCTCTTCACCGGTAAAGATCGTTAATGCATGCATCCCCTCTCTGATCCTTTGGCATTTCTACTTGATCTTGATGGGGCCTGCTTGACATACGTCTTTTCCTTTTGTTTTTTTCTTTTCTTCTCTCCTGCTTTCTCATCTACTTTTCGTGACCCACTGCTAGCCCTTTTGGTGTTGCTTGCCTGAAGATCTTCTCTTTTCGCCTCATCTTATCATTGTGTTTTCCATTAAGGACTGAACCTCAACACAATCTTACTGCCTTTCCCCTGCCTTCCCAGACAACGTTGAACCCCCAGAAGTGAATACTCTTATCTTACCGTGTTACTCGTCTTGTTTCTTCCCATTGCTCCCACCAGTCTTTGTCCTCGACTCGTTCAACGGATTTTCAACTCTAACTGAATTCTCACCTAGATAGTGGACAGCAATGGCGGGGGTCAAGCGTAAAATTGAAGCTACCCAAGCTTCAACGGCATCCTCTGGCGGTGGCCATGCTGGTGCAGGGACTTCCCAGAGCACTACTAGTAAGTTTCTACCCCCTTCCAGCTACCGCAGCAAATTCTTATGGCCCCTTAGACTCCACGCATGATGATCTTTCATCTGTTCGTGTGACTCGGAGTTTACGTTCGAGTCGAGATGCGCGTGCCTCTCAACATGATGTTAGAGCCCCCAGCAACACTGCTGCTACGGCTGGGAACCACACCAATCATTTAAAAAACAACACCAATCGCCCATCGCGTATTATCACGCTCAGCACTCGTGCTGCTCGAGCTAACACGGCTGCGGAGAATGCAGCTCGCGAAGCTGCGCTCCGTGAGACTGCAGCGCGTGAAAATCTAGCGCGTGAAAACACCGCTCGCGAGACCCGTAATACTCGTACTCGTGCAAGCGCCCAGTTGGCCACTGCCCAGCCTGAAACGCCAGTAATGGCCGTTCCAGAAACTCCTCGGCACAAGCGCGTCAAGCGAGGCCCGACGGTTGAAGAGACTCCTCGGACTACGAGGCAGTCGGCGAGACTCAGGGCGCATGTGCATCCCACATCGACCGAAGACGGTTCCAACGATCAGGGTATCGTCCCAAAGTTTCCAGAGCCGAGTCCTTCTACGAATGCTGCCCCGAGTAGCAGAACGAGAAATAGGAGTCGGCAATTCGCTGATAATATCATTGACACTACGCACAATGCTACTGCTGTTGCTGCTGTTGTCAAATCTCCTTCCCCGGACAGGGCCACACCTGTCCCGGCTGAGCAACCCAAGCCACTGCAAGATGAGCCTCAGAGCATTGAACCGGACTTCCATCCTCCCACGAAGGAAGAGTCACCAAAGGGCACCGTTGTCGACGAAGACAAGAATGGTGTCACTGAAACGGCAGCCCATGAGATTGCTGGTCCTCAGAATTCAACGCCTACCCCAAGTCCAGATGCATCTGAAAAGCCAAAGTCGTCGTCTCAACCAGAAGATCCTGGTGCGGCTGAGAACGAGAGCGTCTCTGAATCTCCTAGTAAGAAGCCTAAAGTGGAAGAGGGCGAGTTGGACCACGCATTACATCAACAACTGCAGAATGGCACCGGTGGTAACCCGGAATCACGGTCCCCCGCTGAGGCTATGGCCGAATCCAGAGTCGATGAAGAATCTCGCCAGGTGACTGAAGAGATTGAAGGTTCAACGCCGGAGGTAGCCACGGAGTCCACAGCTGGTAAAGCAACCCGTGGTCGGACACGAGGCCGCGGCCGGGGTGGACGCAGCCGCGGCTCAGCGCGGTTCGCAGTGAACAAACGAGGACGGGGCGCCGCACGCAGCGGTCGTGGTGGTCGCACCGGTCGACAGCTGGATCGCTCAAGCGATGTGGAGCCTGACCGCTCCCCTTCACCAAGTGCAGCTACCCAGAAGCTGCGGGACAGGCAGCGAGAGTTGGACAAGGCCTTCAAGAAAGTGGCTGCTGCTCAGCGGCTGGCGCTGGCAGTGCTGGCCACACAGTCTGAGAAGCGACTAGCCCGCGATAAGAACGCGCACAAGAATGTGCCAGAGTTTGAAGAAGTTAACTTGCAGTTGAAGGAGAGACTCAATGGACGGAAGGAGGTTCTACGCCGGGAATATGAACTCAAGGTGGCGCAGGAGCACCGACTATTCGAGGCCAACAAGCAAGCCATTGAGGAACGGTACCGGGTAAGTTTGAAGGCACGTATCCTCTTTCTTGGAAGAGCCCACTAACGGATAAACGAACAACAGGCTCAAGCCCGCAATATCCGAGAAGAGCACTTACTGGCTAGTCAGGGGGCGTATATGACGTTTGTCGAAGGTCGCCGTGCCGCGGAAGATGATGAGCATACTGAGGTATGTATACTTCCCAATGCTTGGGGCCGGGAAGGGGTACTAATGTTACACTGCAGACTGATGACTCCGAAACCGAGCCGGAGCGCGGACGAGTGGTACCCCCCGCCAGGGAAGTGTTCAGAGGCTTCAACTCCAACTATGTTCGAAACCCTTCTGGGGCAGCGCTCTACGACCGTGCTTACTTCGGCTGGGACGACTTCGTTCAACGGGCCAAGGTGGGCGACGACATCGATCCGCAGATGAAGGAGATCCGAGATGCAGGTCCCTTTGCGGGCATGACCGCTGAGCAGATTCTCGATATGTTGGTGAAAGCGACCGGGGTTGTGGAAGTTCCTCGGAACACAATGCCCGCAGAGATCAGTCCTCCGGTGGTGCTGCCTGACTTGCGCCCCCGAGCATTGTCAGCCTTGGCAGATATTGCAGCGGCGGAGCCTCCGCGCCCTCCCCTGTCACAAGCTGCTCCACGGCTCTCGACTCATCGAGCCCTCCTGCCCCAGCCTGCACAGCCGCCATTGGCCCACGGCCCTGCCGAAACTCGACCATTTGTGCTGCCTCCTCCAACCCCTCAGAGACAACAGCCCCGTCGTCTTCTTCCAGCGGGGCAACAGATTCCCCCAATTAATGAGCAGCTCGGCCTGCCTGATCCTTTTGCCTCCATGGGAGGGCCTCCTCACCTTCCTCCTCCGCCGGGATCCAACTTTCATCGACCTCCTCTGCCCGGCTTTATGACGGGACATCACCCCCCAAGTCTTTATTATCCGCCGCCGCCGCCTCCACCACCTCCGCCAGGGCCCCGACCCCCCTTCTAGCGGGAAGGGATTGAAGTGCGTGCGGGTTGATTCTGTCTTTTCTTTTCGTGTGAAGATTCTCACCCGGAGTTTTGATGTAGACCTTTTTTTCGTTGGGATATTTAAGGGCCTTTTTTCTTTTCGATTACCGAGCGACTGGTCATGTATTTAGCTATGGAGGATTCCCCTTAGGCGTTGAGTGGTTAGGTTCTTCTCTACAGAAACGTGATTTCTAATTCTTTTACTGAGTTCGCCTTCTTCTTGATCTCACTTTCGCATATGAGTGGGGAACTGTACTAGGCGGCGGTGCAACTATGTAAAGGGGGCTGGGTCTAGTAACTACTGGGGAATCTAGACCCACCGGGGGATGAATCATAATGGCTCATGTCTTGATGGCGATGAGTCGACGGGGGAAAATGATGACTGATGCTGATTGCTGACTCATGACTGGTTCTGCCCCGTCGCCGCCTTCCACCCCGATTGGGCCTAGTGCCATGGGCGGGGCTATCGCTCGAAGCTTTTTATTTCCTCGGGCTTTTCCTCCATCACTGCGGTTCACGACCCTGCTGTGCTTTCTAAATTGCCTGCATCTTTTGGCTGATCGAGCCCCGTCTCTCTGTCAATTGCGAATCGCAAAGTCCTGTTCTAGCACTTTGTGTCCTTCTCTCGCCGTTTTCCCCGCCACGAGCCTCTTCCCGACAGGTTCTGCCTTGCCCTCACCCCGCCTTCACCACTTCCTCGAATCTCTCTCCCCTCAGCGATCTCTTCTCTCCCTCTCACGGGCACTCGATCAACTTCCTCGCTCTCTCGAAGCGAAGATATAGAATTTTTCTATCTTCACTATTTTCACCTCCGGTAGTCCGACTCCGCCAGAAAGAATCATGGCGGTCCGCGCGCAGTTCGAGAACTCCAACGAGTGAGACGCACCCCGGAGAATTTTCTGCTGGCCTGCTTGACCATGCGGCCCAGACCTCGCAGCTTCTGGAATCTTAACTAACGTATTCCTTGTTTTCCAGAGTCGGTGTTTTCTCCCGTCTCACCAACTCGTACGCTATTGTTGCCATTGGCGCCTCCGAGAACTTCTACAGGTGCTTATATACCCGTTTCTGCCAGAACCACAAACCAGTCCCATTAACGCTCCTTCCAGTGTATTCGAGGCCGAATTGCAAGATGTCATTCCCATCTGCCACGCAACCATTGCCGGAACCCGCATCGTTGGCCGTCTGACGGCAGGGTATGTCTAGATCCGATATCCATTTGGATCTCTGTATCAACCCCGCTGACCATCTTGCCCCCAATATCAGAAACCGTAATGGTCTCCTCGTCCCCACCACCACGACAGACCAAGAGCTTCAACATCTCCGGAATACGCTACCCGAATCGGTAAAGATTCAACGTATAGAGGAACGTCTATCGGCTCTGGGGAACGTCATCTGCTGCAATGACCATGTTGCGCTGATCCACCCGGATCTCGAGCGGGAAACCGAAGAGATGTATGTCGTGCTGCCAATATCTGCAAGTACTGCGCTCAATGCTAACATGCTAAACCAACAGCATCGCCGATGTCCTCGGTGTCGAAGTCTTCCGTCAAACCGTCGCCGATAACGTCCTGACTGGCTCCTACATGGCCCTCTCCAACCAAGGTGGTATCGTCCACCCCAAGACCTCCATCCGTGACCAGGATGAACTTTCCTCCCTCCTGCAAGTGCCCCTCGTCGCTGGTAGTGTCAACCGCGGTAGCCCCGTCGTCGGTGCCGGCATGGTCGTGAACGACTGGCTCGCTGTCACGGGTCTGGACACGACAGCCACGGAATTGAGTGTCATTGAAAGTGTCTTCCGTCTGGGTGAGATGGGTCCCCGTGGTGTTGGAATGGGCGACGCCAACAAGGAGAGTATTGTGGAGAGTTTCTACTAGAGGGTTTCACATTTTCTTTCATCATCACGCTGTTTCCTTTTGTTTTTTTCTTTTTTCTTTCTCGAACATACATGAATATCCTTATTGTGCTATGAATGAATGGAATGGGTAGAATATCCGGGGGTGTGTCTGTGGATTGACTGGACTCTATTTTCTTTCCAAAAACCTATTATATTATACTCGTAGAGTAATTGGTACTAACTACCTACATAGAGAACCGACAACCTAGATGTCATCACACGAAAACAATTGAATCCCTCCGTAACCATTGAACGCTTCTTCCATCCAGCCAAAATCCGTACCTCGCATTTGGCATAACTAATGTACTATTTCTCCAATTAGATTAAAGAGAAGATAGCTCAATCAAATTACTCAATCAAATCTTACCCAAGTAGCGTAGCTACGAATGTAAGTAAGTACATACAGTAAAGTAGCCAATTCAGTTTATCAAACTCTACGTTTACTATTGCATACGTACATACATACATACATAGGTTACCTCCGGGGGAAAAGTAAGGGTTCTTTATCATCATACTATCAATTAAATGGCTCGTTTATAACATATCTGGCTCTATTCCTGTTCTGTGAAGTGAGTCGCTGTTTGAGGGTATATATCAGAGAATAAGTAGAAGGAAATTAGTAAGTAAGGTTGCTAGCTGCATGGCAGTTGAGTAAATTGATGTGTTATTGCTAGATTATTTATCAGTACTAGTAGTAGTATCAGATTGATTGATGATATGATGATGATGATATACATTTGTATAAGCATGTATGCACTACACTTGATTACTACTACATATGTGTGGCATTTCAGTTAAGGAAGTGGTAAAACGTTAGATAGATATGTGCTTTTAGTAATACACTTCATGATCCTACTCGTCCTCTCTCTCTCTCTCTCTCTCTCTGCCTTCATCTTCAATGAAACCTATGAAGAAATAAAAATATAATATCCTTGTTGATTGAGTACTTTTTGTTGGTTTCCTCTCTCTCCTCTTAAGACCGGGAGGTATGCAATCATCATAGCTATCGCGGGTACGAATGGGGGGTATTCATGTTTGAACAAGGAAAAGTGATACTAAAAGGGGATAAGAATGCAAAATATTGAAAAATAGAAATGAAAGGAAAGCCAGTCGAGAAGGAAAGAGCAACTGATAGGGAAGGAAGAGAATATAGTAGGAATGAATTATCACAATGGGAGGAAGGGCAAAAGGAATAAGATGAACGGCCAAATCGAGTCAGATCATATCAGATCAAATCAAAACTAACCAGAAGCTCTCCGGACGGAAACCCCTTAAGCTGAGAAACCGGGAAGATATAGAGTTAAAAAAAAATGATAGAAGGAGGGTTAAAAATAGATGGCACCAATTAGTCATATCATATCAAGTCAAGTCGAACTCCTAGAACACCAGACCCGATGCTGGAACTCCCCCTGGGGGTGAAATGGATGGTGGGAATATCAGCTGGCTAGCTCTGGTTTCACTAGCTGGCTGGGGTAACTCATGCTATACCCGCCCCTCGATGCCAATTTGGGATGGGTTTAGCTCCTTGACCCCGTCTTCGGGGTTGAAATGGTCGTTGTTGGTATCCATCTCCTGCCCAGGGTAGGGAGGAGGTGGTGGAGGAGGCGGAGGAGAATCAAGATCTTGTTTGTCCGCAGGGGTGGGCTCATCTGTATCGCTCTTCATGTTCCCATCTTCGCCACTTTGGCCTTGCTCGTTACCAGGGCTCATGGGAGGAGGAGGGGGTGGTGGCGGCGTAGAGGATCGTTGTCGCTTGGAAGAAGACGGGGTGGTATACTCGGTCATGCTTCCATCACCGATGCTTGGCTCATCTTCTCTCTTACGTTTCAGATGGCCTTGCAAATCCTCTGTCATGGTCGTAGGCGTCTCGCCATCCTGTGCTGTAACCCGATCGTCCTCATCGTCAGACATCTTCATGTCCGGACCGTCGTCCTCGACAACCTCGGCTGCCGCGTCGTTTGGCTTCGAATCTGGCTCCTTCGACTGCCGCTCTGCTTTCCGTTGTTCGTATGCGCGGTGCTTGGCGACAGCCTTGTCGAAGAATTCTTTGCAGAACTTTTTCACCTTCTTTTGCTGCTTGTCATCGATCTTGGTAGGGTCACCAACACGGTTGTTTTTGAAATCCGAATTAACCAATTTCTTAGCCACCTGCGTCGACAGCAATTGATTAGCTTGATCATCTTTTCTTTAGAAGAGCGTTGGGAGGCTGCGTCTCACGTCTTTGGCATAGCGTTTCAGGTCGTCTTTCGGAAGTTTATGCTTGAACTTGTCCACCACATACTTGACATGGGGATAGAGCTATTCTCCGTCAGTACTTGCGCACCGTTTGTTATCTTTCCCCTCGAACGCTGTATTACTCACCGTGTTCTCATATATCTTCTTTCGCTTCTCTTCGCTATATGACCTCCACTTTTCTTGACCATCCTTCATATCCGGCGTTGGTCTGGACGCCTGTGGTGTAGCCGGAGTTCCGCTCTTCTCCTTTGGCGTATTCTCCTTGGCGTTCATAATGCCGTCAATGATATCCTGCAATGCCTTGTCTCTCGATTCTTTGGGGGCCGGCGGCGGTTGAGGGGCGGGCTTGGTTGGCCGTGTCCAGGTAGTATCGCCGCGAGCCGAGTAATAATAAGTCCTCCCATTTGATTCTGCTGCGAACCATCCTGGCGGGAGGGGATTGAATTGTCGACGGAAGGGTCGGGGACCGTGATGGTGGGGGTTTCTCTGGCCATGTCCGCCTCGTGTTTGAGCAGCTGGGCCGCGAGGGGCTTCTATAGAGCGTGACCTCGATCGGGAACGGGACTTTGACCGTCGTCGCTCATCGCGAGTGTTCTCTCGCCGCCCGAACTGATTGACAGCTGGCGTCATGGCATTGGGATCTCTCTTCATGCGCGGAATGCGATAACCAACCTCGAGGGTCGACCAGACTTGTAGCAACGTGGCTGACTTCTTCTCCACACGCTCATCACCACAGCTGGTCAGTGGTTGGATGGTAGACTCGATCTTAGAATCGATGATCTTGTTTCGCGTCAGACGGGGAAACTTGTCGAGAATGTCGAGAATCTGTAAAACGACGTTGTGATCTTCCTTCCACATGCCCAGCTGGGAGTTCAGAATCTGATATCCATGCATTTTCACCACCCGGTTCCGGACTCGCTCATCATCACAGCGCTGAATCCGTCCCAGGAGCTTGACCGCGATCCATTTCTCCTTGCATTGCATGAGCGCCGCCATGACCTTGGTCACGCCATTCTCCTCCAGGGACTTCGGCTGCACACTGTCCACATATTCCTCATCGTCCTCTCCCGTCTTCTTCTTGCGTGGCCGCTTCGCGACGGCGGTGTCCCAGCCATCTGCATCGTCAATACCCAAAGCCTCGATGGTAGCATTCGACAACTTTGTGGCCCGCTCAGTCTGAGTTCTACCTCCGATAAAGCCTGTGCAGTTAGGCTCGCCGCAGTAACACGGTTGCGGATCTGCCCCGTAGCGGTCGACATTGTAGTTGAAGACGAGTTCCTCGCCAGCTTGAATGTGTCGTTCAGCAAAAATGCCCATACGAAGTTTCTCACCAACAACCCACTTGTCGACATAACAATTGGGATTGCACGAATGGTTGCAAAACCGGCCGAGATTACCCTTTTTGGTCGCATCGACAAATTCGCCCTTGCTGAGGGACATGAAATAGAAGTGCTTGATTCCCTCCTCGTCATATTGTCTCATACGGCGCCGGAATTGGCCCTCGTTGATGACCTCGCCAACATACTCAAAGATGAATTGGTGCGGTCGCAGGTCAGCCTCCGCCCGGAGACCGAACCCTTTCTTTTCCGTTTTGATCACCGCCACCGGAGCATATTCCCTTCGCTGGAATCGTTGATTCTGACATTCTGGCCCACATCCACAATCGCCCATGCATTCAATCTTGGTCGCGCGGTTAATGCAATCCGAGTCTTCACCACATGCTAGATTTTTGGATACCGACGGTTCTAATTATGGGTTAACTTACTAGTTCCGTAGGTGGGGGAGACACACAAAACGACACAAGAAATCAAAGAACGATCAGAAATAGGGGAAACATATCATAATAACAACTTGAAATAACAGAGTGTTCAGGTGGGAACAGAAAAGAAACAAAAAGGCAGGAGTGTAGACGAAGTGGCCGTTCCCACCCCTCAAGATGGGTTTGAGGAACGCCACCACGCGTAGGAGTCACACGGTGAAGCCAGCGACGGCGAGGTCGAGTAGACAGACAGCACAGGAGATATCTCAGGGAAAACTCACCCCATTCCTCAGCACAATCGCATTCCATCGCATGTTCAGTATAACCCATGTATTTATTGGCGTACGTGCATGCGTCCATCAAGTCGAACGTCGCTTGAGCCTCAGCTGTGCTATCCGGTAGATGGGCGAACAACTGCGGTGGCCTTGGGACTACCTTCTGGGAAGAGCTCCGTGTTAATTTGGGAGGCTGTCCAGGCTCGAGTTTGACGATAATGTCGCCCCCGACTTTCTCCTCCACATTACCCCCATGGTTGTTCTCCGCCCCTTTCAAATTGCTTCCATCGTCTTCGTAGTTCTCTTCCTTCTTCACCGGGGCTCGAGAAGAAGACCGTGATCGTTCTGCCTTCGGGGTTGGCACGGGGGAGGCGTTGGAGGCTGCGTTTGACGATTCATCTTTGATCATGGCTCCTCCGCCGTTTGGCATGGCTGAGTTTTCGGGCGCTGCGTCGGACTCCAGCTTCATCGCGGTCACCGCATCTGCGACAGATTCTGATTGACGGTCCGCGTAGTCATGAGGGGACATGACGACACGGACGGAGCGCGCAACTTGTTCGGTGCCCGGTGGGAGATGCGCTGTGGCTAGATCGGAGACCGCGCGAGAAACTGGTCGTTGTGTTGCAGTTCTAGTCTCGTGGAAGACAAGAAGCAAAGAGAAGAAAAGGTAAACCGGTGAAATTCAAGAAGGGGGGCGGAAGGAGAAAAGAAAAGAAAAATAAAAAAAAGAGAGAGCAAAGAAGGGAAAGTGAAGCGATGAGGAAAGCCTGGCAGAATAATTCGACGAGAACTTGACCACCAAAGTCGCAAGTCAAAGCATCGCCCACGTTTTCCGCGGGTGCCAAGAATACCTCGAGGGTAGAAAGGGTCGAGAGCAAGGTTCCACGACCACCCAGTGTTAGCCGGGAATATCCTTCAGAGAGAACTGAGAGATTGAGAAGACATTCCTTTCAGTGTTATTGTCATTCTATTCTAAGCCACGGCGGTCTATTCTATGTCCTAGTCACTACCCATTCACTTCGACTTAACGATCCTGTCGCTCAGTATACAAACCCGTCCCCCGCCCATTCAGACCATGACAATAGTCCTTTCAGTATTGATATGTTTCTTTCAAGTAGAAAAAAAGGTCTAATCGGATATGCGAAGTTGATCACGCATTGGATTGTACCTCTATTCTCATTCACTGTGAATACATCGCTTTCACAGTTGAGACATCGGGTGCCTGACGCGTGTTATCATCCCAGCGAGAGTATTTGCATTCCAACTAATCTTAACCGAGTATCGCCCCAGCATAAACCACCCATGCTTAACTCGGGGTCCACTAACAGCCACTTGTTATATGTGGTTTTTTTCTGCCCTTCAGACCTCTGTGAGTCATGAGTGTTCGATACTGTGGCTATCGTGGATTATGGAAATCTGGGCACCCGGTTTCACGGTGTCATGGTGCTTGGACGAGCAGATCTGGTAGGAATCATGTTGTCATAATCCATAAGTAGGTGTTCGGCTCTGCGATACCTTCGCGAAAATCAGAGTGTCAGCAGAAGCACTAGAAATGATTCCTTTCTGAGCAAAGCTGCCTTGAGTTATGAGACCTGGACATTGCATTCGGAGCCAGGATCAAGCCAACGACCGAAGAAACGGGAATGCAGAAACGGACTACAATTAATGGTGAAATGACAGGCCAGGCAAGACAAAACGAAGGGTATCGTAGGTCAAAGCACAGGGGGGGACTTGAGATTCGTAATCCTGGGAGATACAGACTTACTGTACCATCTCATGTCCAGCTACCCCTTCCTGTCGCATCTTCCGAGGACGGGGCACCGGGTAGTTATGAAGCAGGAAGAGCGCGTGAAAGCTAAGACGACCGGCACCTGCAGATGGGGAGACGGAGAGACTGTCCTCCAACCAACTTGCGGTTCGCTTATGCGGGAGTCAAAATCATAGGCCACGAGACGCCCAAATCACCAAAGCTAGGGCTAGGGTCCGCCTGGCCATGCAGCTCCCTCTTCTAATCCTCCTATCCAATGGCTGGATGGTGGTCGGACGGAAGATCAAATGGCAACATGGATTCCACGGCCGGCGTACTGGACTCACATGCAGTGGAGAACGCAGGTAAAAAGGATCTGCAAGAGAAGCATTGGGACGCAACGCAACGACTGTACTGGACATGTCGATTTCAGGAGCATTTCTTCTACCGTGCTTCCAGACTGACGTGGTTCGGGGCGGCTAGCGATTGGAGGAGGCCGTCGCATTTTGGGTAAATACAGGCAGGATGTATATGCACTCCGTAGGTAGCGTAGCAGAGTTCAAATGAATGGTGGTCAGGTAGACTTAGCCGGAACGGATGGAGTCGAATGGGATCACTACCATTCTAATGGCAGCACTAGAGTAAACAGAATCTCCATCCGGAGCAGGGACGGACCTAGCACGGAGGAGAACTCACTGGATGACTGGACTGATCTCGAGAATCCCAGATGCAGGCCGTCCCACGCCGGACGGAACGCTCCAATTCTTCTCGGAGTCCGTGCTTAGTTTGAACTTTCTTTCTGTGAAACCTTTCCTCTGAACCATGGGACCTGGCAGTGATCCCCAGCCCTTCAGCATTTAAAGTAAGGAAAGAGAGGGAGGGCGAATCGTAATACAGAACCTGTGTGGCTAGTCAAAAGTAAGACGGGAGGTGATGGGAAATTGAAGCCACGAAAATCAGGATAGGACCATGCATGAACCGGTGTTGCCTCGATGGAATGGGTTGGATTACCACAGAGGAAGTTGGTCTGAATGTACTACAACACTATACTACTAGTATGGTGTGGTATTGATTATTAGTATTATTATTGACTAGGATGAGGGGGAATTTGTTTTGGGGCCATTACAGAGAGAGTACCTACACATCTAGAGAGCCTCCAAGGTAACTGGTACCTATCGAGTATCTGTTTGGGTCTCACCAGTCATGACAGGTACCTTTTTTTTCAAAGCAAACCCACCAGCACTGATGTTCAGGCCTTGGGTTGTCCCTCCGGTGTACCCCGTTAGGTACACGGCACACTATAGTGAGATAGCAGAGACCTATAGCCGAGGATTATGGTATGCGATCCACATGCGTGCATTTCATCGCTGCTTAGGGCCAATGTCCCTCTCTCTCACAGAACACCAGGTGCTTCTTATTATTTTCTTATCTTTTTAGGGCTCATAGAAAAGGAAAGCATGAGGAATCATAATCATTACAAATTCTAGCTACTTAACGTAAAAAAGAGTGTGCGTAAGACGAGGAGGGAAATTCGAAAGGCGAGGTGAAATCATGATGGGCTCAATGAATAAGCGTAGGAATCGACTAACTTACTAACTAATGCAGAGTATCGGTGGATTGTCAAAAGGCACATCTGTGCGCAGAAGAGGCAGACCGTCTGGGAAGATGGATCTTGCACCTAAGCGCAGGCTAATTCTTCCACACAAATATTCTCTAGTGGATATCATCAGTTGCCTTCTTCAGGAAGGTACAACTACATACTAGATACTTCCCTCGTAAACTCTAACTAGTCATGCATCTTTAAATGAATTTTTCCGCTATACTCCCAAACGGTGAAGTGAAAATAGACACTAAAGCATACACAGTCGTGCACATACACACGCACATAGAGGAGGAATACTATAGAAATTCTTGCCATGTGAGTCCACAGAGTATTATTAATATTAGGAAAGAGAATACTAAGGAATACTACCATGACAACGATGAACATTCCTGGCGAAGGGTGAAGATACGTTGGTCTGAAGTTAATTAACCTACTAGGGCGCCTAGTGTGCAAAGAACAGCATCAGCACCATACATCGGTCAAACTTGCGAAGACAAGCTCCAGGAGTTGAGTGTATGAGAGACTGAATGATAATCTCCTTCGACACTGTGTAAACATACCGAACGTAGAAAAGAACAAATAGATCATAAGCTTATGATTGGATTATTTCATGTCAATTTTCTTCATCAATCGGATCTTTTCTCTAGAAAATTCACCACGATTTTACGCACCGCAAAGTTTCCAAGCCCTCGCCAGCGTTTACCGCAGTCTGGAATTTCCCTTCAGTTACAAGCGCTACGGGTACCTGAGGTGTGGGTCTGCCACCAATGTTCCCGCCTGCCAGGAAGTCACCGGTACCTCCGCGGCGGGTACCGAAATGCTGGCTTACCAAGCCAAACAGCGGCCAGTAGGGTAAGCGTACCTGGTTGCCGGAAGGTTCTACCTTTCTTAGTGGTAGTCTTCAGTGGTAACTACTACCAAGTCAGTATGGTACGGTCAGCGGTTAATTGGTTACAGACTGCGCCACAGGCCCCTCTGCCATTCCCCAAAGGAAAGTCTTCCTCGTCTCGGAACTCCCTTTGTTTCGATCTTCCCCTTTTCCCGCGATGTGCTTCGTTCTCTTGGTCGATTTGACCCCGAAATCCCCGCTCATCTCCATTACGGTACTGTTGATCAATGGATACGGTCGCTTTCCATCCTGGTTGTGAACGACCGTGGTTCGGACTCGTCGGGGAAGGTCGAAGAAAGCCGGTGGGAAACCCATCGGCCTCAGTGACAACCTGTCCATGCAGGACTATAGTGGACTACCGTCTGACGGTTGATTCATGTTGGCGGGGCTTTGCTACTCCTGCATGGTTCTCGTGCATGGGCCATTGTCTGTCTCGATCCGATGTTACGATGCACAGGTGCAGACAGACCACTTTGCTTTCTCGCATTGCTACTAATAATACTTACTTGTTGGCCATCGCCCGATAATCGATCCGTCAAATGAAAATCAGCGGCAACATTACCTAGATCGTCACCACGATGACCTGACGATGTACTGTGTAGTACTAGCCGGCTAGCGAGTTCACAAGCGCGGTGGTATGAGCCCAGCCTGCCTTGTGGGGGAAGGCTTTTTGTCGGCTGGTCGGTCTGCTTCATCTCTTCCCGATGGATTTTTTTTTGTTGTCCCTGAGCGCCCGCCGTTCCGACCAATTTGGCCGGGCAAAAAAAAAAAAGAAAAAAATAATATGAAAAATAAAATGCAACCGAGGGTTTGGGGAATTGAATTTATAAAGAAGGACAAAATAATTTAGGGAAGAGAAGAACGACCGCAGAAATTGCTTCTGCGCAACGATCCATACTGTCAGCCGGCAGCTACCTATCGTTGTTGATTGTCACTTGTTATGGGGTTTGTTTTCTCCTTTTTTTTATCATATCCTACTGAGGTTCCAGAGAGATTCTCATCCCGGTGGTCTACATGAGCTCTCGTCCATGCACTCATCTGCTCCGATGCTAGACAGGATGAGCAACACTGTGAGTGGACTGGAAGTATCCAGTCAGACGGCTTAGTGTCTGGGCTGACCGTTCCGGAACATCCTTGCAGCCTTCGTTCAATCGCCTTCTGCACTAACGGGATCCATCCTCTCTACCCAGCCTCCAGGATTTTGCTCTCGTCCGCGCCTATTGCGGAGCCCAACAACCCCACTCTGCGGTTATCAACCACCTCCGCTGCTATCATTTTCTGCCAGTCATCGCCGGATGCATTCCCGCTATCGTGAATAGGGCCAATGCATGCTTCTGCATTTTCCTGTAACTGTATGCATTACAGTACCGCGGACTGACACAAGAGACAATTTGCTGTCGGGATGGATCGACCGCACTACCTACTTCCGGGCCCCAACCCCGAACCTCGTTCTCTAAGGATAGGAGAGCCTTCATTTCTGAGCAACCTGTCGATTCCAGGCCATTGACCCAACATCTTGGGGCGCCCGTACCCACCCATCAATAATGGTCTGTCGCCCATCATGTACCGTGAGAACGCGCTGCGTCCCGTGAGAGGGTCTTTTTTGCCCCAGAGGAACGCCTCTTGACCCAGAGGCGGCAAGTCTTGCCTTCCTGGATATGCCTAGACGATCCTCTTCTGTTTTCTTCTTATGTTTTTATTACTATTATTGTTATTTTTGTTTTCCCTTTTATTTTCCCATGTTATGTTATTTCTTTACTTCTCATCTCATTTGCCATCGTCTTCCCAACTTCTCCACCCCTTATTTAGTGCACAGGACTTTAACTTTGTCTGATTTCGTAGCCAGGGCGTACAGCAGTAGCCGCAGGCTGTTGTTGCATTGCTTCTTCACGCTGAGTCGGTTTTGGTCTTGTGGCCCCCCTGCTCCTGTTACCCGTCCGGGTTTACATCGTTTCCCAGCTTTCATGCATCTTTAGCCTTTCGCTGCTTTTTTGGCACCCCTCCTGGTCTTATTCGAACTGGCTCGGAAATTCCAGAGCTAACGCGCCCCTCCCGGTTGAGCGTGCGGTTGGCTTTCCTCCCCCCTCTCCCCTTCCCCTCTACTGCGAATGCCACCGACACTTGATGGCATTTGAAACCATCGCTCTTGAAACACTATCCTCTTCTCGGTAGCTTCCGGTCTAGTCCCTCTCTGGCAGTTTGGGCTGGGGTCCGCTGTCCTTGATTCGAAAGTCACTTAAGTTCTGACCCCATTGTGGCTCTCTTTTCGTCCTCGACTCTCCAAAAGTCGCAGGTCGCAAGGTAGAGGGGAAGCTAAAGAATAGGAGTCCCTGCAGCCTTCCTCTTGCCAACCGGCCGCATGTCTGGCATCTGCACCAGTGCTCTCCTGCGCAGCCCCGACTTAAAAAGTCCGTTTGGCTAGAAAACGTTTTTGAGAGGGTACGGTGTTACCTCACTACTGGTCGAGCGTCTCTCTTCCCCCCTTTTCCCTCTTCTTACATTCGTTTTCACCCTCGAGGTGGTACCAGTATGCACCGTTGAAACTATTCATTCCAGAAATCCATTCGATCTCCAGCGACGACGGCGGCCAACTGCCCTGACGTTTCTCTCTTAGGGCCACGATCCACTTTGGTTCCATCGTTTATTTTTATCTCCGTTCCCTTTTTCCTTCTTTTGATTTTAAATTCTTTATTTTAATTCCCCTTGTTTTCTTCTTTTTTCGTCCTTTTGGAACCTTCCCAGGCCTTTGTTTAACGCGGTGACCTGAATCGCAGAGGCAACTGTTCTTCATTCGGAGGTGTTCCTACTGGGTTGTTTCGTTTCTATAGCCTCTCCTTACGCCGTCTACTCTTGATTCTTCTCTCGCGATCTCTCATGTGTTTTACTACCCCGGTGAACGATTTTCTGACTTTCAATGTCTGCTATTCAACCCATGTGCATCGGCTCATCTTCCTTTCATTCGTTTGCTGACCATTGTTTTGACCCTCTTCCTCTTTCTTGACATCTATTCGCTGCTCTCCTAGCTTGCTTTTGCATCTCTATCTAAGAACCCACGTGTTGATACACTGACTGGTGTAGACGCATCGTTCCATTTGGGAGGCTCCGTGGCAATTCTGTTCTTCCGTTTTATTGTTTCCCTGCTCTTGTTATCTTTTTCTCCGGTCCCTTGTCGACTCGTGCTTGGTGCGTGTCAACCTGATTGGCGTTGTGTTTTGCCCTTCACTGTTCTACATCCGTAGTCGCGTGACGCGTCACTCTTTATATTTTGCTTCCAGTCTAGATTCTGGGGTCAGTTTTACATTCAGTTCGTGTGTTGGGTTAATCATCAAGCAGGGAAACTGCCTCATTATACTTCCATGGTCTGCTGGCTATGTCGAATCAACCAGAGAGGCCATGGACTGAGGAGGAGAAGGTAGGATTGCCAATTCTCGCCCCTCTGCCGTCGCAATCACCGGTGCTTTCTGCTGACGGAGGTATGGCTCTAGTATACTCTGCTTACGGAGATCTTGAAGAAGGCCCGAGTGCCTTCGAGCCATCTTGTCAGAATGATCAGGGATTTCAACATTACCCCAAGCTGGGCGGATATACCCCTTCCTCCAGGTACAGATCCGCCAGCACCTTCCGCTTGTCCTCTGCCCCGAACAGCTTGAGTTAATGCGACTCACCTCCTGTTCGCATTGACTGGGACGAGGACATTCTTTCATACGTTGGATAGTTGACTTAGCATTGCTGATCTGATTCTGTCCAGGTCGCTCCCTCAACTCCTGCCAAATAGCGTTCTGTAACATGCTGCAACATGTCCAAATTTCCGTCACTCACAGCCTCGGATCGATTCCTCCGCAACCCCATGAACCTTCCGTACCAGCAACCGTCCCTCTAGAAAGCAGTAGCGTCTTGCGCAAGAGGCCCTTGATTCCTTCTGACAGAACAATCCGTGCCCCGCGTGCGATACAACCACGCCCTGCGACAAGCACCGCTTCCTACAGTAGCGAAAGTGGAGCTTCGGCCCTCTTGTCTCCAAGTTCAGAGAGCGTCACTGCCAGAGGAGAGCCTCCACGGAAGCGTGGACGGCCTAGTAAGGCGGAATCGGAACGGCGCAAAGCAGCTGCTGAGGCTCGTGGAGAAACGTATCCACCCCCACGGCGGTCTGGATCCCACAAGCTGAAAGTTTCGTCTACGCCCACTAGTCCCTCCGGAGTCGCGCCAGGGTTGCCGTCATTTTCGCCCCAGGCGAGCAGTAGTCGGCCACAGGATTTACCACGACATGAAATGCACTACGTTCCTCCGCCAGGGAGGCCAATTCCACTGATGGGACCGAGTAGCGACGAGCGACCGAGGGATATGCCGAATCAAGACATGAGCTCTTCGATGCGAGAGCTACCACGTCCGGAGATAAGACAGACTTTGCCATCACCCGGAACCCTACAGTTAGGTCATAGAGAAACACCACTTATACGAAGGGAACCGGGGGTGTCTTTTGAGCCTCTCCCACCAGACAGACATCCTTTCTCCCAAAGCAACCGGAGGAGTCTCATTCATCCTACTAGCAGATATCCAGATGAACCGCCCACACCAGCCTCTGATTTACCTATAGCCAGACCACCAGACCACAGGCCGGAATGACATAAAGAATAAGCACACAGCGTCTCAGATTTCCCGAATAACTATGGCATGACAAACGAATTACAACATTGAACATGAATGATAGTTAGCATTGGTTCGGATTTTCTCACCAGCAAATCGGAATGTAACGAAAGCAAGGCAATGAGCGCCACATCCTTCATACGTTATTTCTTCTTCTCCCCATCTCACATTCTTGCGTATCGGGGTCCCGCTCTTCGGCGGGGCGACTTGATGGACAATTTGATTGCTCATGCTTGGCGGATTGATATGCCTATAACCGAGTTGAAGCGTCCGACAGACATGTCCAATTTTGCTTTCTCTGGGCTGGCTTAACTTGCGCATATCTGGCTGAAGCTGTGCAAAAGTCGGTCAACGCCGTCACCAAGTCCTAATTGGTCCACTTTCCTTGATCAATTTCCTGCGTTTTTTCTTTCCTTATGCGTACATGCACCTTAATGATGCACTGAATTGATGATCTTCCATGCATATTGAAATCTGCACATCATCGGGCTTTCGGAGCACTATTTCAAAGTCTCCATTCAGACGAACATTATGAATATGACGTGACCTATTGACATTACTTGTTTTGGGCATAATTTTCCTTGTCCTGCATCATGTGCTCTCTCTCCCCCCTCTCTCTTGTTGGCATTCTTCCTTCTCCACTAGCCATCTCCTCCTCCTCTTCTTCTTCTTCTTCTTCCTCTTCCTTTATTTCCTCGACCTCTCCGCTGTCTCTGGGCGTGTGATCTCCTATGGTCAGGACCTAATATATTGTATAATTACTAATTTTTTAGTGATCAGATCTTGACAAGGTTGTATGTACAGCTTCTCAGCTCTTTTTTTTCAAGAGGTCATCGTGCCATTCTGGAGAAAGACAAACGGAGGATCCAAAGAATGTGAAGAGGAGCAAGCACCATCAAGCACAGCTCCAAACCCGTAGGCGCCAGATTCAACGTCACTGGTCTTGGCGCGTTCCGATTTCTTGCACGCCGTAGTATGTATTTTCGGAAATGAGCACGCATGTCGAGCTTGTGGCTGGCTGGGAAGTTTTCGTCTCGTCGCCAATATTGATACCGAGTGTTCTAAGGATTCTACGTTACACTGATATATCTATGCCTTGTCAGAAATATGATCTGACATGACTACAGTGGGGAATGAATGTGTCGCCAGATAATTTCTTTCTTAGTTCTGGCTGCTGCATGCATTGGCAATAATGATACCCTTTCTATCTATTATATTTAACCATAACTCCGTAGTTGCCCGCTGTCAACCTGTCTGTACCCAGGGCGGTACCACCATCATTCTCTCAATCACGGATCCTGACTACTCCTAACCCGATCAAGCAAGGACTTTAGCCTGGTTGACGAGGATGATTCTGATGGATTCGATGTCTCAAGGCCACTAGTAGTGGTGGTGCCGGCCGCCGCAGACAACGATGCGACTGGCTCCGGATTACCACCAGAGGTAGATGGCGCGAATTGGCGGAATGGTGCCGGTTTTTGATTCTCTGCAGCCTGTTGTGCTTTTTGTTCTTGTTGCCGTTGTTGTTGCTCCAGTTGGAGTCTGATAGCGCTGACGGCAGAGCTCAGGCTTAGGCCTGTGTTCTTTCGGCCCGATGCTATAGCTGAATCGGGTGTATGTTGTCCTACAAGTTTTTTCACATCGTCTCGTCCTTCCACGCGCCGGGTGAGGTACATCTTGGGGATGGTGCCTTGTCGGGGGAGGGTACGGGTTCGGATGCGTTCTATTTCTTGTCGATAGGCGGTCTCGTAGATGTCGAAGTCGGCGGCTCCGGGTGACTCGCTTACGATTGGGTGGGAAGCGTCTATATCCATTTCGTCGGGTTCGGCAGATATCATGGTGTCGGGTTCTTCGAATATGGGATCGGTGTCGGGATCAATGTTGGATTGGTTGGACGAGCCGGTGTATGTTGAGGTCCGATGTATAGGAACGGAAATTCCTCCTCCAGGGGATCGCGTGCGTGGCCACGGGTTCCTTCAACGCTGCGTTTTGTGGTGACCGAGCTTGCTCGGGATAGCGGGACGAAAGGAGATGGGGACTGAGGGGTGGAGTTGGGTTGGAAATCGTCAATCGACCCGCCGGCTATATTGTGACTGCGAATAGACCCGGAATCTTTCCGTTCAGGCTCCATTCGGGATGCATTCCTGCTATTGCTGCCTGATGCAGGACCGGTCTTACCGTGATGGCTGAGAGACTCGCTGCCGTCGGTAGGCTGGTTGGGAATTAGATCCTCGCGACGCTGATGGAAGCCTTGCAGCACGTTGTCACGTTCCCAAGGTCGTCTATTATACATGTTTAGACTTTGGCTCTTGTTGAGGATGGGCATATTGCCGGTGGCCGTGAAGCTCTCCTCTGGCTCCATCTCCATAGGAGGCTCAACAAAGTGCGTTTCGTATTCTTGACCAAGTATACTCTGCATGGGCGGGTCTGCCTTTGCCGGGTCGATCAGCCTTTTGAAGTGCGTTACCGCTTTGATCTATCGGAAATGTTAGCCTGAATCTTACCAGCCACGATAGTAATATCTGCAATGAGGCTGTCAACGTACCACGGCCATGACATGACCAATATTCCTCGTAATGGCAGAGTTCATCTCTTCTTCTGTCGGCAGACCGACGATCTCAGCGGTGTTCTCGCTCTCAGATAAAAGAGGATCAAGCCCATTCTTGGTCACCCAAGGGTGTTCCTGTATGCAGTCTATGAGTAAGACAATGGCGTACAGACAGCGTTTATGTTTCACCTACCCGCAACTCCTCCATTGGTATGCGCTTGGCCGGGTCTTTTTCAAGGATTCGGAACATCAGATCCTTGAAATTTTCGTCGGTCTCTCCCTCGCATACAACAGGGTCGTTCTTGATGGCTTCGTAAAGCTCAAAGATGCTTTGCTTCTCAAACGGGAGTCTACCATACCGAAGGCAGTAGAGTGTGACCCCCATAGACCATATGTCCGTGGCTTTGCCCGAGACATCACCGTGTCTAACGACGCACAGTTCCGGCGGAAGAAAGGCAGGAGAACCTGCTGACTTTGCAGTGAACATGTTTGAATCCTTCTCGAACATCTCCGACACCCCAAAGTCAACGACCTTCAAGACATCGTCACTCGTCAATAGACAGTTGTCCGGTTTGATATCTCGATGTACGATACCCTGCGCATGTAGATATTCGATTCCTAAAATCAGATCGCGGAACCAACAGCGGCATTGGTCATCATCATAAGGATCGGCTCGTTCCTCGAGCCCGACCTTCATGATCACTCCTTTCTTGCACATCTCCATGACCATGTATAGCGAGTCCTCTGTAGGATCATCGAGGACTTCTATTAAAGACACAAGGTTATTGTGATTCAGCTTCTTCATGATGGCAATTTCTTCCTTGATCAAGTAAAGGGCGTTTTCCTTGTGCTCATCCCCACCCGGCGCGCGGCGATGCAGCGGGGAGTTGAATCCATCTGAAGGACGCTTAGGGCCTCGGGGCCTGCGCAGAAGATGCGACTGCGCCCGTTTCCGTAGACGAGCCTTGGAGAATTCCTTTACAGCCTGAACGGTACATTCTCGGTCAGCTTCTTCAGGATATAGCCGAGATGATGTTGCGCAGGGACAAGTACATATTCGTTTCCAAACTGGTCAGTGGCAAGATGCACCGCTCCGAATGAGCCTCTGCCGATCTCCTGCTTGATCACGTATTGATTGATCCGGTGCTCAGCAGTGCCATCATCCTGGCTGGTATAATACTCGGATCGAGCATTAAGCGTTTCCTAGCAACAACAGTTAGCGACGGAGCTATACAATGAAGAGGCAGACGTAGTCATAAGCGGTAATCAAAGAACACATTTGAGCACGCATGAACAAAGCAATAAAATAAAAATAGAATAAAAATAACCTACCTTGACTGGGCGCCTGACTATCGGGTTCCGGCGATGATGTCTCTGGGGGCTTTCGTATGAAGGGGTGGAACTAATTTCCGAAGTCGATGTGAATCAGTATCCCCATGTAGGAGCATCCGGGAAGAATGAACGGTTGAAGAAAGCCAGAGACAGGCCTGAGGGCAGTTTCGGAGGATGAGACGAGCAAAGCAGTGCAACTCACACACAGCGAAAGGGCGGCAGAGGTGGCCGCTCGGTGGTGATCGGACTGGCATCCTGCTGGGGGAGCTCGGCGTCCCCTGAGGCCATTGGAAGATGTCGACGACGGAGCACCCGCGGCAAGGATTTAGGGGCCCGAGTGTTTCACACAAAGATCGGAACTTGGCTGTCTTGGTCGGCTGTGACAAGGAGAGGAAAAATGACGGTTGCCTGTGATGAAGTGTGGGGAAAGATCGGGGTTTACGAGGCGATGGAGATAAGCAGCCGTTGCGCCGAAGTCACGATTTGGCAAGAGGGACCGGCTGAAGAAGGTTCAGTGTTGCGGAACAAGGGACTCCAGAGGAGGAGAAGGAGGAGGAGGAGAGATGAGGAAGATTTGTTTTCTCCTCGAGGGTGTGGCGCGAGATTAGAGACAGAGTCGAAAGAGAGGGAGAGAATCAGATCGAGGGGGGAGGAGGGTGGGATTGAGAGGGGAAATCGTGGATGGTGAAGAAGCAGCAGCAGCAGCAGTGGATGCCCAGGGCAGCAGATTTATGTAAGGCTGATACTAAGCATTACGAGGCGTCAAGCCAGTATTTCTCCGGGGAAATAGTGATAGGCACGATTTATTGAACATCCAAGCATCACTTGTCGATCTGCTCGATATATTCCCAGCCTACAACCCATCAACCACAAATGGAATCTTCAAACAGGGGAGTTCAGTATAAATCGGATTGTTTTTTTTGTTTTTTGGATTTGGATCGAGAATCCGTGGATCTGAGCGACTCACCGCCCACGAGTAAGATCCCCGAGTCTAATTCAACTGATCAGCTAACCTTCTTCTCCCCTTCTTTCCACCCCCCCGTCAGACCCGCCTCGATCTCCTTTCCTGGGGCTTATCATCTTGAATCTCTATCGCCGGAAAGGAACATTTCAAGCCACCTCTGCGACGCTCCAAGGATATATACTCTGTCCTCTTTTTAATCTGTTACTCTTCCCTTGTCGGCACTATGGTTGTTTACTCCTTCTATATCTTCGATCGTCATGGTACCTCCCTCGCATCCATCTCTCCCTAGCCATTTCAATTGACGTTGCTAACCACGTCTCTCCCTTTCTTCTAGCTGAATGCATCTATAATCGGCGCTGGCTGCCACGCCCAACCTCCATGACAGGCAGCAAATCATCACGACCGACTTCCGAGACATCTGCTCCGGGTCTCCCCGCAACATTAGGCCAAACTGCGCGCGCCACGGACGACGATGCCAAGCTCATCTTCGGTACTGTTTTCTCCCTGCGCAACATGGTTCGCAAGCTAGGAGGCGAGGACGACAAGTAAGGACTCCACCCTACAGCGACGAGGCAACTCAACTGGGAGGACAGTCATTGACCGCTCCGCCACGTTTATAGCTTCGTTACCTACCGCACTAGCCAATACAAGCTCCATTACTACGAAACGCCGACCAATATCAAGTTCGTTATGCTGACGGACCTCAAGAGTCCAAGCATGCGCGTTGCTTTGCAGCAGATCTATATCAATCTATACGTCGAATACGGTACGCTCTGGCTAGTTTAAACGATAACCTCCTCTACAGCTGTATGCTGACCACCTCTACTTCTAGTGGTCAAGAACCCGTTATCTCCCGCCGAGCATCCAGGTGGCATTGGAGTGAACAATGAGCTCTTTGAAGAGTCTCTGGAACAGTTTGTGGTATGTGCCATCAACGTCTCCTAGGCGGATTTAATCTAACCTACAGCAGACTCGTGTTCTATCGTGAAACGGACTTGGATAGAGATGAACACTCTGTTCGCTCATGGGTCTGAGTCGAACTGAGCCCCAGGCTTAATTGTCAAGCCACCACAAACAAGCATCCATGTGATAGCGGAACAGCCCGTCCTGCATCCCTATGACCTCAGAGTGCCGTCGTGCGGCAACGGTCCGATGCGGCGGATGCCTTCCCCGGAGTCCCTTTACGGTCGACTGTCGACACACGCCGCAAGTCCGTTACTCGAGCCACAAAGTGTCAGAGCTACATCAGCGCATTGCTCGCAGACCTGAATCGAAACCCGACACCGGGCCGCGTCCGGCACAGACAGCGACCAAACCAGGAACAGGCACAATCTCATGGTCTTGAGGGTGAAACGAATTTATGACTTCACGTCTTATCATTATACAATTTCCATAAATGAAACATTAAGAGCATACATGTCCACCCACCCAATCATAAATCATCCTCTCCCAACATAATTTACACACATAAACATCATATTATATCATCCATCATAACACCATGTACCATGGTGTCAATCAAGCATACCGAGTACTCGAAGTCCCAACATTTCCATACAACACCTCATCCGGCAAGTCATCCTCATCAGGACCCTCGGAATACTGGTTCCGAGTCTGCGGCTTCGCGCCCCTCGTCCTCCCTGAGATCACATTGCTCTGATCAATCGCCTCGTCTTCATCTTGAGCTGTATCCACAACCATACCATTAGCATGTATCCTTATAACCATACAATATTTAAAAAGTCCAAAGAAAATGTAAAGGGATGGACATACCAAGCTGCTGGTCCGTGTTCGAATAAGGCGGCTGCACCGGATCCTCATAGGGGGCCTGGTCCCGGGCTACGGGGACCTGGTTCCTCAGACTCGATTGCGTCTCATGCGCGTACGAGTTGTCGTGGAAGGTGCCGGACACAGGGGACGGGTCATTTTCCTCCTCGTAGAGGTCTTCGGCTTCGCGTTCGTAGCGGTTGGACATTGTGATTGCTTAGCTTCTATAGCTTCTTGGTATGATTTGATTGATAGAATTATTGAAGATTTGGTTTAGAGAAAATGATACTCATTCGGGAGATGAAGGGGGGTATTTATATCTTATTCTATACAGTGATGGAGGGAGGGAGATGATGGGTTGATGCAAGATTGATGTCAGGTTGATGGGATGAGATTGGGTTTGGGTTTGGGGTTTAGGTTTGGAAGATGTCATTTGTTTCATTGAGTTGGTGCTATTTCTTTGCTCTGCTTGGGGGTGTTGTATTGCAGTATCTCTTGTGTGATAATACTGGGATACGATGCTGTGCTACAGGTAGGTCAAGTGTGAGAGGGTTGAGGTGATTGATTGTGGGGATGGTGATGGTGATGGTGTCACGACATGCTTTCAATCGTCATCTCTGGATAGAATACAGTGTAGATGGATGGCCAATTGTGTAAGGCAGCATGCTGCTACGTGCTACTGCTGTGCAGTTAGTTTGTATACACATGGTAGGGCTGGTTCGGCTGAAGCGGGCGAACCAAACATAGCAACCCCCCAAACAGCAAATCAGCAAATCAGCATCAAAGCCAACGGCTCCCACGACAGGGAAATCAGAAAGCTCTAGAAGCTACAGGTTGGTTCGGCATCATATCAACCATGAATGAGCTCAAATGGCGGGAATGACATCGCCCTGACTCACCGTGAAGTAATTCGCCACGGCCTGGCCAGAACCTTTGCTCACTCACCGCCGCCCTCCCTTCTTCCGCCGGGGCCTATCGGTCTGAACCCATGTTTTTTTGGTGTTCCTGGCTTTTGTTGATGAGCGATTTGCAAGACACCAATGGCGGCATGCCCGGGGGAGACGTGACGGGATGTGGTGTTGTTGTTCGCTGCCTTTTCTTCTCCCGTCTGATCAAAGGCCGCTAACTATATGTGTCTTACCTAATCAATCCCATCGCACCAGGTATGTGCACACACACATATACCACCAAGATCTAATTCACGACCCTATTTTTAACAAATTGCTATTTGGCATGGTTCATCTGACTGTTTCTTCCTTCCGAGCGAGGATAACCGGAGGAGAGAAGCAGGCTGTGTTCAACGGATCGGATGAAGCCGTGCGCCAGAACACGAGTTGTGCTTGTGCCAAGTAAGCTCAGCTCTCGGATTGAGTGAGTGACTCACGGGACGATCAACAAAAAAACAAAAAGAAAGTTGTTGAAGATACGGTCAGAGGGACTTGGGCCGTTTCTGGTCTGCACAGCACGGGCAGCTTGGCTGTTGACTTTCTTTCTTTTTTAGAGCCAAGTCTATACTCGGTCTTTGATAGGTGGGCTTGTTGTTTTCGTCACGGATTTGCTGGACAATTGAATCGGAGAGCAAGCCATTATGTCGAGTCAGTCGGGAGTCGGAAGACAAGAACACATATGAAGACGATGTCCGAGATGTTGAAACTATTGTGGTTCGGTTCAGCTCAGTTCAATTCAGTTCAGTTTCTCCGCATGATCAGGATTTATGTCTCCGATTACAATCAGCTGATACTTAAGACTCAGGATGTGCCGTGTTGCCGAACAGATGCGAGTTGTCCTTCGACATCATACCTAGTCGTAGATAAATAGTCAATGAGCTGGTTTCTGTGTGAGTTTGGGCAAGTTAGTAGTTAGTTGGGCATGTACATTGATCCTGACAAAGCAGCAGCAGCAGCAGCAGCAGCAGCAGCAGCAGTTGTCCGATCGTCGGGCAAAGGAAGGAAGGGCAATTCCGGGAGTGCTGCAGTCAGTCCCACACCGTCCCTTCATAATGAGTTTCACACCCACAGCCATGGGCAGCACCTTGTCATCTGTATAAGGAAGAAACGAAAGCAGCAGCAGCTTAATCTGGCTCGGGAAAGGAACACGCGGATGCGACGAAAAGCTTGAACCGGCTCGCTCGTCCAGTCATTCGCCTTCTCGGCTAGTTTACGTGGAGAGGGATCCTAGAATGAGAGGACCAACAAACTAAACAGTTAACCTCCCCACTGCTACCGTAACCCGGGCGAATGAACCCGCATCCCAAGCCACCACTGTCTCCATTCTCGCTGTTGGATTATGGACGTTGGGTTGGACGGGGTGCGCGGAGTCCGTGTGCCTGTGAAGTCATATCCCGCAGTGGAATGTCCAACCAGGGGAAAGAGAGGGAGGGAAGATACGGGGGATCCTAAGAAGATCGTCTTTGGAGATAGGAAAGGAACAACCAAAGCATTTTAGTTAGGTAGAGATAGTGAGTAGCTGTAGCTTGGGTTTCTGCTGCTGCTTTATGCTGCATTCTTTTGCTGAATAGAACCAATTGCATGGTCCGAAAGGACGTCTCTCAAGTGTCTCAACTAGGTACTCTAGATACCGGGTGACTGACGGGTGGTGATCAACCATGCGGTGGCTGTCTGGATCCCGCATATTGGAGGGGGAGGGGGTAAATACGGAGCAAGCAGAATGACGATGAAATTAAGGATGTTCGGGGATCCATTTCATTATCATACCACATGGCAAGAATTCTCTTTCCCGCCACAGAATGGTTCAGCCCGCAATTGATCGCTGCTCTTGGATTGGACCTTCACCATACTTTACAGGGAAGGGAGAGGGCAAGAGAGAGAAGAGGAGCAAGTAAGTCCCCCGTATTTTGGCATTACGAGAATCGCGACCTCTTGTTGACTGACATTATTATCCCCGTCATCGGGATCCATGCTCGTCTTTCATCAATCGGGTGGCGGTCGCCAGTCTGGCAGTTCGATCATCCCATCAACGCGCAGAGAGAGGGAGAGCAAAACGACAAGGGCTGAGAAGCATGGGTGAAGTATTATTCCCTTATTGCTCGCGAAATGAATCGAATCGAAATGAAATGAAATGAAATGAAATAATGGTGTTGTCTGATCGGAATACTAGCGGTCAACCAAGAGCTCTCTCACTCTCTTTCTCTTCCTTCCCTCTCTTACTAGATAGATACCTAGTAGATGCCTGCCTAGGCGTTACTACCTGACGGGATTTAGCTCTAGCTTTGGCAGTGTTTCCCGTAAGTAACAACAATCACCATGCTATATTGCCATCAAATTGGCCGACAGGTGGTGCCTAAGTCAAGTCCGACAGACCCTACTTAATGTGTAGTTACCTACTTCCCCCTGCTTCTCTAATTAAGTCCGTTTCTTCCCTAGTACGGAGTACTCCGGACTTATTCTCCATCTTTGTATCCATAACCAGGCTGGGGTTCGGCCGGGTCTTTTTCGGCAGGAAAGGGAAGGATACATACATAGTTACTAGTTAATTAGTAGTTGCACGCGTACCTCATCCGTATCCATGGAACAAAACATTCACATCCACTCGTGGTATTTTCTTAGCCGGAAACCGTATCGGAAGGCGGTTGTTCCTCGTTTCCGAACAGTTTTCCTCGTGGAATTTCCCCTCTCCTCCCCCAGTTAGTGAGTTAGTTGGTTGGTTAGCTATGATTGCCAATTCAACTTTCTTCACTCAGTAGTTCGAGTACACAGTAGTAGTGTTCAATCATGCTTTCTCCTTTTCTGTTTTTACTTTTCCTTCCTTTGATCAGTAGACTGATTGACTGACTGACTGACTGAATGAATGAATGATGATTATAACCTTTTCTAGCAAGTAAGCTGGCTAGAGATACGATGCCGATCTGTTCGTTCACCTGTTTTTGCTTTTTTGTCGCGCCCGCCCAGATGTATGTAGCCGAAGTCAGGGTTGATCCCACCAAATCATCCACGGTTTTATCAGCGATCCGATCCAAATCATAATCACTACTGCATCTTCTAACGTACGGAAGATGTGGCCTCACTTCCGTAGTTTGCTGATAATCCATCATCCCATCGAGATTGGACTGCAACGCTATATGTATGTAATTGTAATTTACAAAAAGAAAAAGAAAAGAAAAAAAAAAAAAAAAAGGAAAGCAAGCTGTAGCTCTTGCAGCTGCTTAGGTTCTAGCTCATGGAAGATCCAGAGCTCAGCTCTCCCTCCTTCCCTCTCCCTCTCCCTCTCTCTCTCTCTCTCTCTCTCTCTCTCTCTCTTTCTTTGTTTCTCTTACTGGAGAGAAACTGAATAGTTTCACCCTCACACACGCGCACCAAGCTGGATCGGTACACCGTCACATCCCCCACTGGCGGGGACATCCTTAATGGAGTACTTAACCCAGGTTTCAGTAGGAAAGTAGGGTACTAACTATACACCGGATTGCAAAACCGGGGAGGATTGGAAAATATGTACACTAACCGTGAATGAATCAGTGATTAAAATCCAATACTTAGCTTTCCACCATGGCTCGGCCAGGTTTAGTGTCCATGGACTAGTAATGTAGACAAGACATGAGAAGTCCTCGGAACCGACCCACTCGGTGTGGTGCATCCATTCCCACTTTGAGCTGCATCGCGGACTGGACAATCATGCTAATTTCGACGGGACCGTTTTTCTCCCTTTCTTCTCTCGTTGGATCGCTCTCCCTATCATTGGCTGGGAAAAATCCCTCGTGCTAATTGAATCTGAACGCGATCCGTCCACCGTGTGTGTTCCCGTCGATACATCATGCAGTAGTGGAGAGGAGAAGAAAAAAAAAAAGGGAAAAAGCATGGGGCATCCGCCGCACCTTCAGGTTATTCCTCCTCCATCTCCCTATCCACTGGATAATATCCTGCCACCCGGAACACGGGTACTGGTGGTGGGTGGTGGATGGTGGATCCGATAGAAGGTCGATACTGTGTGTTCTGTAGGGAGTGAGGAGAGGAAACTGTGTGTAACTAGCAGTAACTGGTATGGTGTCGAGTTAGCACCTGCAGGCCATTTCACTCCCTTCTTCTGCCCCCAACTTTTAGTTAGTCTAGCCTCGTCGCGTGGGAACTTCAAAGCTCCAAATCTCTGTGTGCGGGTGTGTTTTTTCGGGTTCGTACTACCCTGAGTGGTACAATCCTGACAAGCGACAATAGCCCCATTGCGAGACATTTGTTTGCCCAACAAAAAGAGACGCTATCTTAGCTCTCCGTAAGTCACTACTAAGTACTGACAAGTCGGTTGGATGGAGCAAGCTGCTGCTGCTAGGTATGCCCATGGAGCACGCTGGTTATCAGCGGATCTCCGCAAATCAACATACGGGCTATGCCTATGACATGGGCCAGGGTGGCTGTCAATCCATTAACCATCCCTACCTCTGCCCACTGCACCAATACCCTGTCAGCTACACAGTAGTGCTTCTCCGTACCCTCCTCTAAATCGTAGTAAGGTCCGCCAACCTAAAACCTTTACGACTGAGGTCCGGTGCAGCTGTTCATGGAGAACCCACGTCATTTGCAACCCTCTTAGCGCACTGGTGGGTATCGCCTTTCGTTCAGTCGTGACAAGCCGGAGGACGTCGCTAGCCCGTCCGCATAAAGCAGGAGTGTTTGTTGCAATAGTACACCCCCGAGTGGTCGCCAGGTAGGAGTAGCGCTGCAGATGATTACCCTGCTCTCTGAGATGCCAATGATGGACATGCTCGGCGGAGCAATGACCGTCAGACGGCTTGAGAGTTACTTGACTTGCATCCTATAGTTGCTTGTTTAAAGCACTTGGGGGTACGAGAGGCGGCGTCCGACTTGGCCTGGCCTGCCGCTGTTATTGTTGTCGTTGTTGCTGCTGCCGCTCCTCCTCCTTCTTGATCAGCTCCAGAAACATTATGTGGTTTGATAAGTTTCGACATCCGTTCGCCCTTGAAGTTTGGACCCTGCTGACCTTGGCCCCCCACGAACAAATCGGGTATCTGACACCCAAATGGGGGGATGTGCATCAAGGAAAGTTGCCTCCATCGCAGACTAAGAAAAAGGCTCCGGTGGTCAAGAGAATAGGAGAGAAACGGAGAGACATTTCTTCATCTGATCGCAGGCTAAGAACACCTAAGTAAGGGGCCTTCAGAGACAGATACTACCGTTCTGCGGGTCAAGAATAGAGCCTGTTGGCTAGAATCACCACCATTACCACCAGGTGGTCCAGACAATCAAAAGTAGTATGTAAGTATTAATGAAAGGTGGATGTAGCACCTTCCATTATTGGCGCGGGGAGATGTTTTGACGACAACATACATATCTAGTATGATAGTAGTGGTAGTAGCATATGCTGTATGCTGTATGCTGTATAGTAGTATCGGTGCCACCGAGAGGGCATCCAGCCCACCTACCCGACTAAGTAATAGCAGTGGCTGTATTTCCCGTCTGGTTAGTGGCACTTGAGCTAGCGACCCTCAGCCCCTCAATGATTGTCATAAAAGAATCTGCAGGATCGCATGAGATAAAGCAGACACGACATGGCCAGCTGTAGGCAGACAAGATATATGCTTGGCATAAGTGCGCGCACACCAGGAATGGGGTCAAAGATGGAGAAGGAGGCCACCGTGAAATGCAGCCAACGACTGGTGGGTGCTTCCCCCCCTTGAAGGGGGTGGTCAAGAGGGTTCAGGATGGCCGCCGCTAACCACAGTATTCACTCTCGTGCAGTCCACTTATTTGATTTACTTGTATGTGTTGTTTTGGATGGATGATTTACTTTTCTTGGGGGGTGTAAATGTTACCCCTCATGCGGGTAGCATGACCCTTGAGTAACTTAAGTGATGGCTTTGGCTATCAGTTCATCACTAATCAAAATCATACTTGAAGATGATGGTGGCTCCGCCCTGCCACGCTGGTGAGGAGCCGCCACACGAAGCTCCGGCCAAGTAACTAACTACTACTAGGTATTCAGAACCGTAATAGTAACGATAATACGCCAGGCATCCGACTACTACTTACCATACTATATTATACTATACTCGATACTAGTCGAACATCCGACCACTCGTGCTTTACGCCAGTGAGCCACCCAAGCCATCGGTCTCCCCTCCCCACCCCATCATCCATGATGTGCGGGGACCGAGGGTTGGATTGAGGCTGTGCGGCATCTGCAGTGTTGTGATCCGAAATTTAAGGTCGTTCCGGAGTCAGTGACTAATCGCATCTTCGATACGGACAGCGGCTATGACACAAACGTCATGGTTCTGAGGAGGGTGGAAGGGGGATTGTGCGAGACCAAGCGAGACCAAGCGCAGAGAGTGGTCGCAAGGCGAACGTCATCCGACTGATTTTCGTGTAGCCAAATGAGGGGAAAAGTCAAGCTGGTTTGGACAAAAGAGAAAAGGAGAGTGACAATCTGCAATCCCATCGGCTCTGGGACCCATTCATGTCGCAAAGACAAGTTGACAGTCGGTAACTATCTTAACTAACATTGAGTGGTTGCGCGTAAATGACGACGGGACAACGAAGCAGTTGACTGGACATCGGGATCGCTAGCAAAAAGCAACACGGAGGAAGTGGTTAGTAGCTGATGAATGTGAACGCGGAAGCAGCCCCAGTAACGGAGTATTAGCTCCAAGGATCTTCCGAATTAATCTTACATCTTACAGTGGATGGAGACTTGGTCTTGCAGGACAGGACAGCCCTGTCTTTCTTAGAAAGCAGGTAAATTGCCAGTCAGTCACTTACTACTGCCGCTGCTGCTGGAGGAGCAGAGACGCCCGCGCCACTCTGGTTTCGTGACGGATTTGCGGATTAAGCACTACGTAGAATACTAGTCACTGCTATTTTTCCACACATTAGAACTGATTATCAGGGTTCTTCTAAGGGAACAGGTCTCGACTCGAGAATACCTGCATATGAAGTTATCGGTCAATGAATCCCTGTTAAAAACACTGTGAATAGTAACCAACTATATTGGGGATCAAGTGCCTGGACATTTCCGAGTAGAATATTGCTCAGTGGAAACGAGTGTGGCTGCAACTGTATGATACCATACCGTTACAGTAACAGAAGGCCAACGCAGACCTGCGAACGGGAAGCGGTAGCGAGAGTGTATGGGGACTCTCTCTTGCCTTCCTCACCTTGATTTCATTGTTATTAGTAGAAGTATTACTCGATGCTGACCCGAGCCGGGAATTCCCACTAGGGGAGCACAAAAGGAGAGAAAGACAACTGATACTGATTAGATCAAAAACCCGAGAGAGACACACACACACACACACACATAGAGAGAGGGGGGCTGTCCTTTCTTCCACATGCGGTAACAACGGGAAAGTCCCTCATCTTTGTAACCTCAATCAGAGGCTTGTATCCGGTTCCCACAATTTGAAGATTATTAATAATAAGACCATAATAAAAAACGGGAAAATAATAAAATCATTTCATCGAATGGGGGTGAAAGAAAAAAAAAAGGACCTGTGGTTCCTTTAGGTAGTTGGAAGGAGAAAGAAGAGGGGACTTCCTACTAACTAAGCAAGCCCACCCCCCCATAAGTTGCTCCTCAGCTAACTATTGCTTGGTTACTTCGACCACTGCCTCCATCATCCAGAGTCTCATACTTCAGGTTAGGTTACCTGCCCGGCACCAACCTGCGACGCCCGCGGCGTACTACGGTACCAGTTAGGGTATTTCAACCTGAGCGCCCCCGGTGGACTAGGCTGAGCCTTCTTCCCTCCTCTTCCCTATTTTCTTACGAGAGCCTTTCCCCCGGGGTAATTTTCATCGGCACAACAGCTGTTTCCCTCCTGACTTTAGCGGAATTCGCAAGGCAACGAGCCAAGTCTTCTCTCTCAAGGACCCTAGTCTTGTCTGTACCGTTCCATCTGGGCATTCCCGTGCCTTGTTGCGCCGTGCTTTTTTTTTTTATTTTTTTAAAATCGAATTTTTCTCATTTTCATTATTTTATTATTTCTTATTTGAATTTTTCTTTGGCTGGAATTTCCCTTTTTACCTTGCCCACCCTTTTGACTAAACAAAACGGAGGGGAAAAAGGGAAAAGAGAAAAAAAGAAAAAGTCTTATTGTAATTTCCACAACCCAAAATCACTTTCGTCACTCTAGAAGAACAACCCCCGTCGCCTCAGGCCACCACCACGACCGACTGGGGCCACCGCAACTTTTTTCTCTCTTCCTCCCCCCCCGTCCCTCCCAACTTTCTTCTTCATCTCTCAATTTCTTTTCCATAGCCATTGTCGTTGGCCTTTGCAGCTTCGTGCTGTAGGCTTTTAATCTTCTCCCACCTTGTCACGGGGGGCATTCTTGTGCCTCTTCACCTCCGTGTACTCTTCATTTCTCACTACCGCACATGACTCCACAATCTGCTTCACCAGTACCTTCCGCAGTCTCCTCCACCGCAGCGTCACAGATCTCCTATGATTCTCGAGATGGAGAGCCCCAGGTAACACGTGCTTTAGCGGGCATGAATCTGTCCGCCGCGAACGGGGACGTCCTCCCCGTTCCTCCCACCCCCGCAAAGATCGCTAGACCTACCATGGCCAATCGCATCTCCCGCATGTTCTCCAATACTGGGAAGTCGACTCCGAAAGAGCAGGAATCGCATCGCGACTTCTCAGACAGCAGTACAGAAAGCATCAAAGCTCCCTCGAACGCCAGTATCAAACAATCCAAGCCCACCTCGAAACCCTCCAAACCTAACTCCAAGCCATCCTCCAGAGCCCCCTCGCGACAGGCGTCTACGAAAGAGGAGGCCGAGAAGAAGCCAAAGTCTAGCAATGGCAAAGATAATAAAGAAGCTGCCCCGGTTCACAAACGGTTTGAGTTGCCCGGAGATGGCACTCATAACCATCACCTCCGCAGCGCAAGACGACAGGAGAAGCTGACGGATCTACTACGTGACATGCTGGGCGGTGGCAGGAAGAAGGACGATCACGTGGACGAGCAACAGCTATCGCTTATGTCTACATGGATCGACCAGTTTAAAAACGAACGGGACAAGCTGGCCACTGACAAGAAGGGCGGCCCCAACGCCACAGCTTCACTGGTTGACAAATATGGAAAATGCCAGGAGATTGTTGGCCGCGGCGCCTTCGGTATCGTTCGGATATCCCACAAGGTGGACCCGAGAGACTCCAAAGTTGAGCAGCTGTATGCGGTCAAAGAGTTCCGTCGTCGTCCGCAGGAGACGACTAAGAAGTATCAGAAGCGGTTAACGTCGGAGTTTTGCATCTCCTCTTCCCTTCGCCATCCCAACGTCATTCACACCCTCGATCTTCTACAGGACGCCAAAGGCGACTACTGTGAGGTAATGGAGTACTGCGCCGGAGGCGATCTCTATACCCTCGTGTTGGCGGCCGGGAAACTGGAAGTGGCCGAGGCGGATTGCTTTTTCAAGCAGCTTATGCGTGGAGTGGAATACATGCACGAGATGGGTGTTGCCCACCGTGACCTCAAGCCTGAGAACTTGTTATTGACCACCCACGGAGCTCTCAAAATTACAGATTTCGGAAATGGAGAATGCTTCCGCATGGCATGGGAAAAGGAAGCTCACATGACTGCGGGTCTCTGTGGTTCAGCCCCTTACATCGCCCCGGAGGAATATGTCGAGAAGGAATTCGACCCTCGAGCGGTCGACGTATGGGCGACGGGCGTCATTTACATGGCCATGAGGACCGGACGCCATCTCTGGCGTGTGGCCCGTAAGGACGAGGATGAATTCTACCAACGCTATTTGGAGGGTCGTAAGCATGAGGATGGCTACGCTCCCATTGAAACTCTGCATCGGGTAAGTGTTTGAGCGGACCCCCTCGCTTCAAGTTGACACTGGCTCATAATGTCTCCCAGGCGCGTTGCCGAAACGTAATCTACTCTATTCTGGATCCCAATCCTTCCCGCCGTATCAATGCCTCGCAAGTCTTGAAATCCGAGTGGGTTCGTGAGATCAAGCTGTGCAAGGCTGGTGAGGAGGGATACTGATACATGGTCTCGACGGATTGATCGGACGTTGTTCCGGGCTGTGTATCCCTGATGGTGGTCTGCCTGTTTCTGTTTGTCTGCCTTTGGCGACTGCTCAAAAACCATTAACCCGGGCGGTTTATGTGTTTCCCCCGTTCCTTTTGGGAGGGTTGTCTATTTTATTTATTCCCGGTCCTTCTGAGCTGTTCTATAGAAGGAGGCACCTTTGATTTTACACTACTATACCGGCGCATGTTTCCTGTCTTCCATCTTTTTCATCATCTGCCTACTAGCTTATGGGCTTAGTTTGGTCGTCATGTTTTCATGCCAATGCAACGAAGAGTCATGACCTATGAGCCACCTTTCCATTTATCCCGCTTTTTCAGTTTCGCCATGGTTTTATTTTTTTTCTCCTACGTTCGATACCTTTTCTTGTCGCATTTCATGCATCTCAGGCATTCTTTGATTGGTCTCATTTCCCGATATGCGTTTTTAATGGGCCTTGTCAGTGGCTGAATGACAAATACCGATCGGGGAAAGCTCTCTTTCTGCCCGGGTTATGTTGATCATGCTGGCTGTTTTTTACCTCTCTTGTTCTGGGTCTGGGCGCGCATATATCTATCCTCATGGACGGTGTTGGAGCATTATGGGTTCTGTGAGATGTAGCATCGGGAGGTTGTATTAGTATGGGCGGTGTGATTTATCTTGGGATACCCATTTGCAGCACATAATCCATTATAACAATGAGCCTCCGCATCATATTCTGAAAATACACCTGCGCATTGTTGAGATTTAGAGCATCATTTCTAGGAAGGCGTTTTGGGGGTGAGCCGGCGGGAGTCATGGTGAGTTGGCCTGACACTGCAGAAACAGGAAGTATGGTGGCTTGCTCGATGCTTCCTCCTTAATCTCATCGTATATGATATTCCCCATTCCATCAGCCTTTCCTTCCCCCTACGATTTAGTATTCCCGGAGTAGACGGACTCATGACTCGACCCTACCGACAGACCTCGGGTCCGAACCAAATGGCGGTAGTATCATCTAGGAGCTCGATGACCGACTGGAGTACAGTTGGCAGCGTCTGCTTGGGCTCGGAAATATGGGGCTTCCCACCCTCTACAGTCTTTTCCCCCCCTTTCCCAGTCGGTCGGCCGATACCTGATGATGATGATGACTATGACTCTTATGGGCATCTCAACATTTGTTGGCTGCCCTTATTTTACTTGCTGCTGGATACCATGCCTACCCCGACTTCTGAGGGGAAGAAAAAAGCTACATTTTCCGATCATATAATCATGCAAGCGGCAACGGGCCCTGTGCAAGGTAGGCCAGCTTCTGGCTCTCCCTTTCTGAACAGCTGGAAATGGTTACACGCCGACGTCTGCAATAGGGCGAACCTTCTTCCAGCAAGCCAAAGGGAAAAAAGAAAAAATTCTGACTTCAGGATGGTGAATGGTGTGGATCCATCCAATAATGTTTGCATGAGGGGCATTTGAATCAGAAAGTACAACTAGCATAGAGGCCGATGCGTGAGCGACTTGTTACTATTTATCTTGGGCCCATACTTCTATCGATGCCAAGATCTCCTAGGCAGCCAAGACGCACAGCATTCTCCCATCCTCAACACTCCATGCCGAACCAATGGTTAAGAAAACCGGTCTGGAGGTCTGGAAGACTCCATTTCATGTACCTAGGTACGCCTGAGATGGGCGTGTGCATCAGATGCATCAGGTGCCTCAGGTAGGCCGGCTGTCCAATCAATAGGGGTCATTCCAACAAAACATGCGCCGTACGGAGCTGCAAACGGAGGAGACGCCGGACGCGAGCCAGATCAAGCTTGCTTGGCGCATTATGCAGCCCCAAAAGGAACGCGAGCTCGTAGTTCAATAGGAACCGATCCTCGGAGGAAGGCTAGCCTGCTGAAACCCTGGACTGGTGGAGCTCGAACAGCTCAGCAGCGCTCAGCAGGTCTGTCTGTCTGTCTGTCTGTCTGTTGGAATCGATAGGTATTTTGTGTGTCCGCTAGCTTTCTGATCGGTTTGTCCGTTCGACGACACAAACACACCACTGCATATCTATCTTGTAGCACCTTTTTCTCTTGCCCTTATGTATCAAATGACTAATTTCTCCTGACCGTCTTCGACTCAATCCAAGCATGCATGATTCATCCCCCTTTGTTCGAGCCATTGCCCGATCCCGTTGTGGAATGCCGCCCTCGGCAGTCTGGCCAGCCCTATGCAGTTGGCCTCGCCCTGAAGGATCACGCCGTGCAACTTGGACAGGCAGCACCATTTTTTACCTAAGCCGAGAAACTAATTATGGGCAATCCAGGGCCGCCAACGACCACGACCCTGAAGGCAAGGAACACCCACTTGGAGGCCGAATTGGAAATCAGGTGGATGTCAACCATGCAAGGCTGGCCATACTAACCTCATGGAGCAGGATTTGGGTCTGGATTCCAAACTAAAGGAGGTCCCAATGTCGATTATACTTGGCAAATTGTCTCTCATTGCGAAGTCAATTTGGTGCCCTCTTCTTGGTATACCATGTACAATCAACGCATACCTGGATTTTCAGGGTGAGGGTATGTCCAATGAAGTTGTTGGTCATTGGGTTTCACAATAGGATTGATTCCCTGGTGTATTGATCCATCATCTTCAGGAATGCTGGAGCGATGAACACTGTCTCGCTCCGTCATTGGTAGACCTTGCGGTCTTTGAGGATGGCTCTGACAAAACGCGGATAGACGCGGATTGCTGCGCATGAATAATATGCTCGTCCTAGTATACGATACCCGCGGCATAAGAAGCATCGAGCTGCAGGTGATTTTGAATAGTGTGCGCTTGTCTAAGGAGTATTGAACGCGTGAAGAATGTTTGTGTGACCACAAACATTGAGATCAGGGTTTGCATGTACCCCATACTTTTTCGCTTACAACTTCTACTTGTCACTTGACAGAATCTCGATGCACTCCAGATGAATGCTACACTATTACATGAAGTCTAATGCCATCGCATGAAATGCATTATGCGGCATGAAGATGATGTTGTAGGACACATTCTGATTGCCCCATAGGGCAACAGAACATCGAAACTCCGATGTAGCTTGTGTCACATTAAGATGGTCGCCCGATTCTGGCTGGCATCATGACGTCTCTAGCGACATCCAAAGTTGTACTCAGGCACAAGGCGAACCCACCCCCTTTCCTCTTTGACATCACCATCCCTATCTTTTGGAGAAAGATTCGAATTGCAGGCTGCCAGATTCCATTAATTACATGGAGGGGAGGGGCCGGCCTCCATGACGTCAGAAACGAGCAGAACCGGCAGCCCGGAAGTTCAAAACGGCTGTTTCGTAAACTTTCGCGGGTAATTTTACACTTTCCATTTCGTAGGGCTGTAAGTTAAAAACCGAACAGTAAGATTTAGTAAATAATCGTGACACAGCCACGGAAAACAGGCAGAAAAGTGCACAGCCACAGCCACGCCAATCAATCAATCGATCAATCGAACGTCTCCGAACATCATTCCGTCCCGCATCGGGCATCTTGCTTTCTGAGGGCCTTTCGCATTCATTCAGTCAACACAGTGCCTAATCCCCCCCTTCTCCTCACATTATACACCTACTATATCCAGCAACCCACTCTGTCCTCCACCTAACGGAGTTACCGGTTCTTTGATCTCGAACATACACACACACACGCACTCCCCCCACCCCCCTAACTCACTTCGATTACCCGATTACTGGAACCCCCCTCCCCGACCGACCGCTACTGAAGTCGCCATCATGTCTTGGGCAGGTGCGCTGAATACACCCCCGTTCCTACCTATCGATGGATCCTGCGCTATAGGGACCCATTCTCTCTCTCTCTCGTCTGACTTGTCATTCTTACTGGGTCTACAGGATTCAAGAAAAATGTCAACCGCGCTACCACGCAGGTGATGATGAAGACGGGTATGTTGGATCAGGGCCCCCGCTCGAGTCGAGGATGGAGAAACTCTCCGATATATGTGCATTATTGCTTGCTTGTGCTAGGTGGAATTCACTGACGCACTGGCTTGGGTTGAACAGGACATGTGGAGCGCACAAGTGATCGCGATTATGAGATTGAAGAGCGGTATGGATAGTCTGACTGATTGGATATGAGGGGATATTGTTTGGCTAATATGGACACGATGCGTTACAGTCGGTACCGGACGATGGAAGCCGCCGCAAACCGGTTACAGAAAGAGGCAAAGGGATACTTGGATTCGCTACGAGGTGTGTTTTGATGTTCCGGTCGCTAGAATGTTGGTTATGATGCGGAGTCGGATGCTGACGTCGGACGGTGATGGACAGCTATGACTGCCTCGCAGATGCGGATTGCTGAGACTATTGATGCCTTCTATGGCGATGCCGGAACAAATGATGGCGTGAGTCGGAGTTATAAGCAGGCTGTGGAGGATCTGGATGCGGAAACGATCAAGGCGCTGGACGGCCCGTACCGGTATGTTGGATCTATTGCTGTGGACGCCCTTTTTTGGCATTGCGACTCATGTGTTGACTGGTATTCGTAGCTCGACTGTGTTGGAGCCCATCTCTCGGTTCTGTGCCTACTTCCCGGATATCAACGAGTGCATTAAGAAGCGCAACCACAAGTTACTCGATTACGATTCGATGCGCGCCAAGGTCAAGAAGCTGGTTGAGAAGCCCGATAAGGATGCGACGAAACTGCCTCGGATGGAGCGCGAGACGGAAATTGCCAAGCAAGCGTATGAGCAGTTGAACGAACAGCTCTTCACCGAACTTCCTCAGCTCATTGACCTGCGGGTACCCTACCTGGATCCTAGCTTCGAGGCTCTGGTGAAGATTCAATTGCGGTTCTGCGCGGAGGCATATTCGCGCATGGCGCAGGTGCAACAGTACTTGGATGCGGAGACGAGGGATCAGTATGCCCGGGGAGACCTGGACAACCGGGTGGAAGAAGTGTTGCAGGAGATTCGGGATCTGAGCATAGCAGGCACGGTCTGATGGTTGTTCATTTGTGATACTATTGGAGTGGGGTTCGTTTCTTTGCTTTTGTCTGTTCATTAAACTGCGTGCGATGATAGCCGCTTTAATCATTCTGCATCCAAGCCTTGGTATTATTGTTAACACTATTTCTCTTGGAGTTGTTCTTGAATTAAACCCATACATCCGTACACCAGAACGTAGGAGATGCAGGAAAAGCCAAAGTCTAATAATATAAGGGTATCTCTAAACCACCTCTATCTAATCTATCTATAATTACACAGCAATAACAATATCATACAACCCATCCAATTCATACTAGGCACCCCAAATAATCACTCCGCACCATCCCTATACAACTCATCCATCAACACCTCCAAAACCGGCCCCGCGGCAGCCTTCACAGCCTTCAACTCCCGATCACTCATCTCCTCCAGAACATACTTAGCAACACCCCCTCGATCCCTCGTCTCGGGCCTCCCAATCCCCACCCCAATCCTCAACACCGACAAATCCACCCCGGCCCCAACGACATTCTTCTTCGGATTCGGAGGATACAGCCCCTTCCCCCTCAAACTCTCAAACGAACTAATCAGCCCCCGATGTCCCCTCAGGCTCGCCTTCTCCGGCCCGCCCCTCTTCACCCGAACTTTCCCCAACGGCGCCTCCAATTCGTCATGAAGGATGACTAGTGTCGGGGAGAAGTTTCGGAGGGTTGTGGGGTCGGTGCCGCGGAGGTGCCATTCTGCTACAGCGTCTGATGCAGCGTCATGGGGCGTTGTGTTTGTGGAGAGTACATTCCCCGGCTGCACGATCTTCTGGTATATTTCTGTTTGGGTGGATGAGAGCCACGATTGAAAGTTGCGGAGGAGTTTGGGACCCGATTCGTTCATGTAGGTGGGGCTGGTGTAGGTTTTGTAGAATAGCGGATTGACTATGTTGCCATTGTTGGGGGAGGCGCCCACGAGAGGAAGTCGGCGTGGGAGGAGTGGTGTGAGGGCTTCGAGGAGGATGTGGCCGGCGCTGTGCCGCGTCGTGCGGTATGGGCGTGGGTTGCCGATTGAGGCGATGAAGAGGAAGCGCCGCGGGGTTTTGAGGGGAGGTGGCGGGGACATTGAGGATGTGGATGTGGATGTGGATGACGAATTGTCGGGGTGGTGGTTGAGGGTGATGGTGGTGGTGGTTGTGGTGGTGGATTTTGCGGATGGTAGTTGGTGATGTTCCTGTTCCTGTTCCGTGGTTTGGGTGCTGTGCAGCACCACTGCTGCTACTGCTGCTGCTGCTGGCTCATGCATCGACGGGAACTTGCTTTTGCTTTGCTTTGCTTTGTTGTTTCCACTTGATGGGGATGAATTGGTGTTCATGACTTATATTTGCTGTGTGGATGTGGTGATTTATTCTTGAGGTCATCGTTGACTTGTGTGGGTTTGGGTTCTCTCTTATACTATACTATACTACTCATTTCATCATCGCAGGAACTGTATACTTCCTTCTTTCCTCTATCACAAACTGGACAACACGATCTGCTTGCATGTTCATTCCGCTGAGGTGACTCACTTTCTGACTCATACTAGAATATAACTAACCTAACAACAGGTAGTCATTAACTAATAGTAAAGCTGTTATGGAGAACTGTTCGACCAGAGACACACACCCTTGTCCCTACAGCCTCAGCAGCAGGCTGTGCCAGACGCCACACTGCACTAAGAACAGACTCACAAGGTTACACGCCCAACAAAAGACCCTCTAGCCTATCGGCTAGCCCATTCGTCTCTTCCCCGACGCTCCCAGACTAAAGCCAGGCGATCGGGCCAAAATCGACCCAGGACTAGGGAACGACCACCCGGCTGCCAGAACGGGGGAAATGAAAGGGCCGCTGGCTGCATGGCGTCTCGTGTGCTTTGCCTAGTCGCACTGCAGTTGGTTTCCCAGAAACTGGCCCGTTCCCGTCGATCAAAACGGGGCTTTCCAGTCTGCCTCTGCATCGATGGGTCTCGAGACTTCTCTCGGCCTCTCAGCATGCGCTATGCACGAACTAGTCCAGCGGCCTTGGGTCGTCTATCACAGCCTTTGCGCTGATCAACTGCCCTTCTAAGCTTCTACTTCATCTTTCCATTCTTTTCTCCGGCTTTTTACTCTTCCTCTCCCTCACTGTTCATGGCCCACCTGGGTGAGTTCTCTCACTAGGCCTAGCCAATGTTACTATATTCCGACCATCCGGGGTCCGTCTATTCACTCGTATTCCCCAAGCCGTTGGGAAGTCTCCGTGTTTGTCCTCCAATACTTTGACCAACTGCGTCATTCTCGGCATCTTCCGCCATCTTTGCTTTTTCCCTTGCTCCCTGCACTCTTGGGCTGGAATAGGAACGATGAACTATTCATCACCTACGTGTCCGTGAAGCTCGCTATCAGTACTCGTGGCACATGTTTGACGGACTCATATGATCCTGTTTGTGGTTGCAACTTGAGAGAATTGCTATAGGAAGTGCTGCCCTAAGCTTGATCGGGCCTTACATCGGCCTCCTTCAAGAGAAGATCCTCTATAAACCTGAACACGCCGTACCCTTCACCGTACACTCCTCTCAAGTTCGTCATGTCATGGAGGCAAAAGATCTCCAGCCGTTGGGCCAAAACGAGCCAATCGTCGAGCCCGACGAGAGTGAGAATGCGCAGAAGCAACCATGGACCAAGCCTCCTCCGGACCCCGAGCCCAACTCTCAGTCACATTCAGACTCGGACCAAGCATCCATGTATGCAATACCTTTCTTGGTATCTTGCAGTGCCAACCACCAGTGGAGTTGCTAACCATACATCACCACTAGCAACTCCTACGAAACACACCAGCTCGACATCTACGAAGAGAATAACCGTCGCTACCCCAACGATTCATACCACATGCCCAACGATGAAGCCGAACGAACCCGTCTGAACATTGTCCACCAGATCTACCTCATCCTCCTAGATGGCCATCTAACCGCCGCCCCCATTGTCACCAATGCCCCTCGCATCCTCGACATCGGCACTGGTCCAGGTGACTGGGCCATCGAAATGAGCCACGCCTACCCCCACGGCACCATCATCGCCTCTGACATCGGCGTCTTTGACAACGCCCTTGGCCACGTCGACCTTCCCAACCTCTCCTTCTACCTCGACGACGCCCGCGACGAATGGGCTTACAACATCCCCTTCGACCTCATCCACCTCCGCGGCCTCTCCGGCGCCTTCCCCGACTGGTCCTTCATCTACCAGCAAGCCTTCGAGCACCTCGCTCCCGGCGGTTACCTCGAAGTCGCAGATACCGACTTCGCCGCTGAGACCATGACCACCATCCCGCAAAACTCCTACCTCCGTCTCTTTGCCTCCGCGCTCCGCTCCGCAGACTACTCGGCAGGTTACCTGCGTGATCTGAGCCATCTTCAGCCTGCACTCTTCCGTGCCCAAGGGTTCATCGACATCGACGTCCGCGAGTATACATTCCCCATCGGTCTGTGGCCCGAGTCGCCGCATGACCGGACCGTCGGCAAAATGGGCCTCATTGCCTTACTAGAGGGCTTGGAATCGTATAGCTTGCGTGCCCTGACCACTACGTATGGCTGGCTAGCGGAGGAAGTGCGCGAACTATGTGACCAGGTGCGTGCAGAGATCTTGGAAGGTGTGTATCGAATTAGTGCGAGGGTGAAGATCGTGACGGGTCGGAAGCCGTTGACGTGAACAGATATGGGGATATTCCTTTCCTCCCTTCTTCTACTATCTATCTCTCCTTACTATTCTGCTGATGACCTTATGATCATGATTACGATTACTCATACCATACCGTGGATCGGATGGACTTCGATTAGGCTTCTTCCTTGTGAAGATGTGAACTCCAATGGAGACAGTTCAGACTTTTTTGTATCTATTCTCTCGCACAGACCATATAGATGTGATATCTCCAACGTACATACAATAATAAGAAGCAAGTGAACAAGCAGAATATACCTTTTTTATCCTAACGCCCCGAACCCAATGCAGTCGAGCACAACATCAACAGGCTAGACACAGAACATGGCAAGAAACAAAGACAACAGCGGGTAGATACTCAATAAGTAACAAAGGCATGGAGGAAGGAAGCAACAACTATAGCTGGAACTTCGTCCTCGTCTTCTCCATTTGCCCCTTCCACTCCCACTCCTGCCCACTAGCTCTCTGAATCCCCTTATCCACTCTGCGCAACTTCAACGTAAACCGGGGTCCCAATTCCTGCATACCCGCCCTGATTCCCTCCGCGCCCTTCATCTCCTTTCCATCAGATCCCACAACCGCCTTCTCCGTCTCCCTCTTCTCACGGAACACATACCGATGACGACGGAAGAACAGATAATCGCGACTATTCAGAACCGTCACGACCTGCCGGCCCTCGATATCCGGCTGCGGTGGGAACAACGTCCGGAACAAGTGCGCCGTCAACAGACCCAACGGCGTGCGGAAGTTGTTCAAGATCAACTCGGGCCAGTGCTCCGTGGCGCGCCCGTGGCCTGGGATGCGCTTGCCCTCGACCCAGTTCGTCATGGAGAAGTGGAACATGGGTCCCGTGGGGAGATGCACGATGTCCAGACCGGCCGGCTTCTTCTGGTCTTCGCGGAGGATCACCACCGCCGTGAAGTTGCGGTTCGTGGCGAATTTGGAGATCTCGCGGATGGAGAATTGATGCGCGAAGCGGTGGCGTGTGCGGCGGACGTAGACGGAGTTGGGGAACAGGTCGGTGAGGAGCTCGGCTTCGTAGTGGAGGGACGAGTTTAGGGACGTCGTGATGAGGATTTTGGGGGACTTGGGGTTCTCGGTGCTGAAGAGGGAGGGGAATTTGGCCGCTAGAGCGTCGGGGACTAGACTTAGGTTGGTGCTCTTGGTCGATTGAGAGGGGCTGGTTGCGCGCTCTGTGGCTGTTGGGAGGGATGATTTGCTGCGCCCGCGAGTCTCGGAGGAGGATTTCTTCTTGCCGGAATCCGAGTCTGCATCTTCGTCGTCGGAGGCGTCTTCGTCTTCCTCGTCGCTGCTGGCGAGCATGCTGTCCACATCGTCGTCGTCGTCATCCTCTGATCCTTCTTCGGCGTCGGAAGACTGTTCATCCTCGTTCAGGGGCCGGTTCAGCTCCTCCTCTTCCTCTTGCTTGCGCCGCTTGATGCGCTCAACGTCCACACTCAGTCCCAGACCGTCCTCGACGTCGCTGCCGGCGTCATCCCAGACTCGCTTGCGGTCGATAGTCAAGGGGATATTGCGCTTCAGACGCTCCTCCTTCAGCTTGGGGTTCTTGGCCTCTTCCTTCTTGAAGGCATACCGTTCGGCACGGCGAGAAGAGTCCTTGGCGCGCTTGCGCTTGATATGCAGGAGTTGACGCTGGATTTTATTGCGGGGCTTTGCGTCGAGGCCGGCACCCGGGGGCGGGCGGTGAGATGCTTTCTTCGAGACCATCGTTTGCTAGAATTGAGGTCAACGATGGAGGGGTAAGAAGTAGTTGAATTGAAGCAAATGAAGATATCAATATTGGATTACCCGTTTGGGCCATCCAGAAAAATCTGGCGGATCAACTATTCATCCGGCGGTGAGAATAGACATGATGAGTCAGCCAGGGCGCGGCTCGATTGGGAAATGAAGGGAAGTTCAGCTTTCTGGCAATCGCCAGGAACTGGATTCCTTTCGTGTTTATTTTGGCGAAAAAGGAGGGTAATTTGTCGGGAGAGAATTGAGGCCATTACCGCCCCGCATAAGTCCCCTGTCTCCGCATTCCTTATCGACGGCAAACTTGTGGATTGGTGGAGAGTGAGCAAAAGGGCAGGCGGATGAGTCACTGCAGCAGCGCTCAGCGGCTGGGCGGCCTGAGGTGTCGGCGGGCATTGGGTCCCTCTTTTCGGTCTTTTTGTCCCCGCCATCCCAATCGTCTTCTTCATCGCCAACTTCTGGCTTTTCGTCCTCCCCCCACTTGCGCCAGCTCCTCCTCCTTTCTTCCCCCCCGTTCCTTTTCCACCTCCCTCCCCCGTACGCGACATCATCTGCCTCAGCCGTCCTCCAAAAAGAAGTCCAGCAAAATGGCTTCTCTCTCCACCAAGACCGGCCAGGTCGTCGACCGGTCCGTCTTGGACTCTATGCTGCGCCGCCGTCTCTTCTATACCCCTTCCTTTGAGATCTACGGTGGTGTCTCCGGCCTCTACGACTATGGCCCGCCCGGTTGCGCCGTCCTGAACAACATTGTCGATCTGTGGCGCAAGCACTTCGTCCTGGAGGAGGACATGCTCGAGGTCGACTGCACCATGCTGACCCCGCACGAGATCCTGAAGACCAGTGGTCACGTCGACAAGTTCGCCGACTGGATGTGCAAGGACCCCAAGACCGGCGAGATCTTCCGCGCCGACCACCTGGTCGAGGAGGTGCTCGAGGCCCGCCTGAAGGGCGACAAGGAGGCCCGTGGCCAGAAGGTTGAGGTGGACGAGGAGAAGGAGGCCAAGAAGAAGAAGAAGGTCAAGCAGACCAAGGCGGTTAAGCTGGATGACGCTGTTGTCAAGGAGTACGAGGAGACCCTCGCCCAGATCGATAACTTCGACGGCCCCGAACTCGAGAAGATCATCGCCAAGTACGACATCCGCAACCCCACCACCGATGGCAACCTCCTGCCCCCCGTGGCCTTCAACCTGATGTTCCAGACCTCGATCGGCCCCAGCAGCAACATGCCCGGCTACCTGCGCCCTGAGACCGCTCAGGGTCAGTTTCTCAACTTCCAGAAGCTGCTCGAGTTCAACCAGCAGTCTATGCCCTTCGCCTCCGCCTCCATCGGCAAGTCATTCCGGAACGAGATCTCCCCGCGCGCCGGTCTGCTGCGGGTGCGTGAGTTCCTGATGGCTGAGATCGAGCACTTTGTCGACCCCCAGGGTGGCAAGAAGCACGCCCGCTTCGAGGAGGTCAAGGACGTCAAGATGACCCTGCTCAACCGCGACATCCAGCTGTCTGGCAGCACCAAGACCGAGGAGATGACCATCGGCAAGGCCGTCGAGACCGGCCTGGTCGACAACGAGACCCTGGGTTACTTCCTGGCCCGTATCCAGCTGTTCCTGCTCAAGCTGGGTGTGGACCCCAAGAAGCTGCGCTTCCGCCAGCACATGGCCAACGAGATGGCTCACTACGCCACCGACTGCTGGGATGCTGAATTGCACACCAGCTACGGCTGGATCGAGTGTGTGGGCTGCGCTGACCGCAGCGCCTACGACTTGACCGTGCACAAGAACAAGACCGGCGCCCCGCTGGTTGTCCGTGAGACGCGGGCGGAGCCCCTCAAGGTGGAGGAGTGGCAGATTGACCTGGACAAGAAGAAGTTCGGTCCCCGCTTCAAGAAGGACGGTAAGACCGTGACAGCGGCGATTGACGCGCTGTCGCAGGAGCTGCGCGAGAAGCTGTCGCTCGACCTGGAGCAGACCGGCAAGATCGAGGTGGAGGTTGAAGGCGTCGCTGGCGGCAAGGTTGAGCTGGACAAGGAGCTGATCAAGATTGAGAAGCGCACGCGCGTGGAGAATGTGCGCGAGTACACTCCTAATGTGATTGAGCCCTCGTTTGGTATTGGTCGTATCCTGTACAGCATGATCGAGCAGGTCTACTGGTCCCGTGAGGGTGATGAGGCTCGTGGTGTAAGTCTTCTTCCTTTTCCTATTCTTGTTTTCTTTTACAATGGTTGATTCGTGATGCTAACGGATAAATTTCTAGGTCCTGTCCTTCCCTCCTGCAATTGCCCCGACCAAGGTGCTGATCGTGCCGCTGTCGACGCACCAGTCGTTCGCGCCCCTGGTGCAGCGCCTGACGACGAAGCTGCGTCGCATGGGAGTGTCCAACCGTGTGGATGACTCCTCTGCCAGTATCGGTAAGCGCTACGCGCGCAACGACGAGCTGGGTACGCCGTTCGGTGTGACGGTCGACTTCCAGTCCGTCAAGGACAACACTTTCACCCTGCGTGACCGTGACTCGACCAAGCAGGTTCGTGCCAGCGAGGACGAGATTGCCCAGGCGATCAAGTCCCTGGTGGAGGGTGAGGAGACTTGGGAGGATGTGCGCAAGCGCCTGCCCGAGTTCACTGGCCAGGAGGTGGAGTAGATGGAGAGAACTTGTCTAATTTTAAACCAAAAGAAAGCTGTGTCTATTTAGATGGGCTGAAACAATGGCCCTAGACCATATTCAATTCATTGATTGCATGAATAGTAAAAGATCTTAATAAAGTTGTTGGCAGTAGAAAAAGTAACGATGGAGATCGATTCGAGCCTCGGCCGATCGCCAAGAGATCGACATTCTCTCCGCTTCGTCATTCTGGCTTCTTCTTCGCTTCTTCTCCTCCTTCTCTTCTCCTTCTGCTTCCTCTCTCCCTCCTACAACTTATCTCTTCCCTGAGCCATTCGGATAACAATTACTTCCTTCGGGGATTGCACTCCATCCATCCCCCGGGATCCAACCCGCCCAACATGTCTCCCTCCATTCCCTCGGCCAAACTGACTCTCTCATGCCCGCTCTTCGCCGCCGACTTCGACCCGCGTCATCACGGCTTGCTTCTGGTCGGTGGAGGAGGTGGTGAAGGCCGCAGTGGCGTCGGCAACAAAATCGCAAGTTCCGCCCTGGTCAAGATGATGCATTATGCAGCTCCATGCTAACACATCAATTCCCCAGGCCCTCTTGAATACCTCCAAGCGCTCCGAGATCTCCGA